TGCGGATAGAACGTTGCCAGAATATGATTTCTGACATCGAAGAACGACACCGTGGAATGTTCGGAGGTGACCTCTCCTGGTCATCCAAAGTCGAGTTTGACGCGAACTTACAGGCCAAAAGGTCGGCCTTCTCCTTCGCGGTATGGGCTAGCGAGTCATCCTCCCTGTGCAGTGGTGGAATGCAGAGCTGACAAAAAATCCCTTAGACAGCTTTGGCGAGACACCAGATTGGGCTCCGGGAGTCTCACTCACCGCATTAAACGCGAGTACACTTCACGCCGGTTTTCTGTGAGACAGCGATACTGCTCCGGTCGTGCCTGTCCAATTGGCTGAAGCCCGAAAGCAACAGCATGGCATTCCCTCTAGAAAGAGACTTTGCACTGGATAAAATCTCTGTCACAGTTCATTTCAACACCAAAAGTGGAGTAAAGTAATCTTTGCTGGAAAGGACCAAGAGAAAGAAGAAGGCGCCTGCCTTGGATATAGAGATTTGGAAAAAGCTGGTGGAGCCAAAGTACTCGTGAAGGGGTTCCGACCAATGGCACAGAAGGAAGTTAGGATATCGAGTAACAAGAAAACATAATGTATTTATAACAAATCTAAACTGCATATTAAACATTTGTTAAGATTGGAAATAAATAGGCTTTATTATTATTATTATGTATTTATTGAAGTGAAACTTCTTTATCGAGGTTGGAAAAAAATTTAGTGTAACATTTTTTCGTTACGCGTCACATTTTTCGGTTACGCGCCATGTTGCTTTTTGAAGTCAAACTTCTTTATCGGCGTTGGAATGAAACTTCTTTATCGACGTATGGGAGAAATTTTGTAGCAAATCGTCACGTTTTTCAATGATAGTAATAATTCTATTACAGTTAATGAAATTCTATAATAATCTTTGTAGTAATAAGGTAAAATGAAATATTTGTATTCATGTCTATGATAATAAAAGCCTTTTGTTAAACCTTATCTAATTTAATGAATTTCTGTAAAGTTGCATATAGTAGATCATTTTTCGAAAAATAAGATCATAAAGAAGTTTCACTTCTTACGTGTGTACCTAGTACACGCACAATTTTTTTTTATTCATCTCGTAATCATACAGGTAACATAATATATAACAAAAAACAATTATACTAAAGTTGATAGTCAAGGACGGAATTCATATCAAACATTTACAAAAGTAAAAAATCAATAAAAATATTCAATACATTTACTAAGTAATACCTAATTCGTTGTGTGATGGTGTAAAAGAGAGAGTGTGTATGTGATGTGATTTAATGCTATGGATATTCTTAATACTCCTTATAAGCATAAAAAAGTCAAGGTTTAAATATTATCAAAGGAATCGTTACATAGTACAAAACAAACCTGCCATTTGTCTATAGACAACTGTCAACATTCTTCTGTTTCAAAACGAGCTAAGTCGGGCATCAACTACTCAAACCTTATATTGACCGTATGGTGCGATAGAAATGAGGCTAACATCCTTGTCCGTAATTTCAAGTGTCAAGGGTCATCTGGAAGATATAATGCCATTTCTGTACCCTTGATGTCTTTTTAAGTGAGGCTCCACTTAACCCTAACGGGACACGTAGTCCTCTATTACAAAACTTTGAAAAATTACAAATGGATTTCGACAGTTACGTAATAAAATATTTTAATGTCTGCATATATTCGTCAATGTTAGAGTTTATTCCAGACGCTTTGGAATGTCGGCAAACATCGATAAACAAAAATAAATATTACTGTGGTTAGTTATAACCATAGTAGTTTTCTTCATTGGCATTAATTTACTTCCAAATATCCTGTTTTATTTTGTTTATTTATATTATAAGAAATTTGTGTTAAAAGACTATAAACGACTTAAAATGCTTAAAATGCATGGACATTTAAAGTTAACGACTAACGTAGTTTTATCGACATTTGATATCAACCAAATACTATAATGTTTGGCTTTTATTATACGAAATTGACACTTCACTTCATGAGACAGGCCTACCTAGAAAAAATAATAAGTTTACACTTTCAACCAATTACAAAAAATGGTGAATGTCGTACTTGAATTCGTGTATGCGGTGATGTTAGTTATTTGGACTATGTATTTGCGTATTGTCCCCACGAGAATGTAAGTGCGTGCTCCTATTGCTATGCCTCCTGCTGATAGAGAACAAATCTTTGTTTTTAATTTATTTTATTATTATTTATCACTTAAGATATCGTGTGGAACACGGTGTAATGGTTGCAGCTCCTTACAAACGTTGTGTAAAACAAAAAAAACATGGCGATTAAAAGGAGTGGCGGAGAGTTTATTGCCAGTTCTTCTATTCCTTTCTACGCCCTTAGTTTGAAAACTGGCAGTAAGTGTAAAAATAGAAGCTTTTAATGTATATTTATTTTTTGACGTTCATAAGTGTACATTGTGTTACCTATGAATAAATGATTTTTGACTTTTAACCAACAAATAAGAAATAAATGAATCAAAAAAATATGTTTTTCTTCGATATTACATTCCTTCGTCCAAACACGTCGCTCAAAACTAGAGCTGCTGTTGACCAACCTTAAAGAAATGGAATGTGCCATCGATTCATCATCATTTTACATTCTCATTACCGGCGTATTCAAATAATCAGGAAACACACAGAATAAATTTAAATGTTTATGTCAGATTTATAATTTGAAGTAAAGAATTGCTTTGAATAACTAAGTGTAAAAAAACACAAGGAAGATAAACCACTTGATATTTAACCTGCAATCTTTAAATACTGAGAAGTCGATAATAATGATTAGATTTAGATCAAGGCTTAGTACAATATATAGACCGGTACCTGCACAAGATAGCAGCAGTTTCGATTCGCAAAACAAAAGTCAAAAGCTTTTCCCAATAACCAATAAATGTACCTATACAGAACAGTTCACTATTTGCTAATTAATTAATAGGATAAACTAATATTAATAGTTTGTTACTTGGAGCAATTATCAATTCATTTATTAAAACAACCTTCAATTCACTATCACGAGACAATAAATACGACCAATCTTTAGGCAGACTACAAATTGGCATTAAGGGACAAAATATGAATTCGTATGAATACATAGAGAGGTTAAGTTATGATTTGGCTTTCTAACTAAATAAGATTTTAGTTAGACGATTTCTCAATTTCCTTTTTTTTTCATTTAATATACAAGTCGCTTGCCCCGGGAACAAAGTCGTAAAGCACTATTACGATTGTGTTAATGTTTTCTCATTTTTGACTTCCTTGGGTGATGCACTATAACTATATTTTTCAGATGTTTTGCAAAACATTTTACTATAAAAAAACACGAGGATGTCGTTATTATACGGAAATTATTTTGTGCACAATGTTAGTAAAACTTGTTTGCCTAATTTTACTTTTCTGAAATAGATCGCTTAAAACCATAAATATAGTTTTAGTTTAAATTATATTTCTACCATATTATCATACAAGTTTATGTGACAGTTTAGAAACGAATAAAGAGGACACAAAGTCACAATACATCTGCTAAAAGTTTGGTAATAAATTATGACGTTATATTCTAATTTAGACATATTTTGTCGAAATGTGCCGCGTAATGTGCGGTTAAAACAGGAAACCATCGTAAACGCTTTTGCTTTTTAGTCTCCTTAGATAACTTTCATTTGATATATATATTTGTATATATAATGTACTTAATATCCTAGTAATAATAGCATTACTTTCTTTTATTTTTCCTGAAAAAAAAATAGATTTTGCTTTTACGACTTTGTTCCCCGGGGCAAGGAAGTATTCAGTATTGTCTTTGATTGACATAACCTTCACACATTTAAAGCCGGGCGCATACATACTGATTCCTGATCAGAAATCCTGATCAGGTTTCCTAATCAAGAATTCCATGTGGAGAGCGCACACATTCTGTTTTTTTGCATTCGGAATTTAAACGATCAGTTCGATCATAGACGCTTCTGATAACGCACGAGTATGGACGACGAAGACGAATTGATGCTCATTGCTCTTTTATTGGCGCTAGACAAAAAGGGGAATAAAACGTCGTTATTGGGTGCATCCACTGAATACCCAAAGATTAACTGAGAGTCAATTCTATGTCAAAAGAGCAAAGTTACGGGCATACCCAGAAGAATTCTTCAAATATTACAGGATGTCAATGAAATCCTTTGATGAGCTTCATACGAGATAAAATAAAAAAGCAGGAGAGTGTTACACGTCGTACGTCTACTCGGCACAGCGCGGCGCCAACGCGATTCTGAATGAAAATTTCCGTACGTGTGCGGCGATCGAGCCAAAATGTATGCGAATGCTGCGTTCGGGGTGACGTCATCAGGTTTTTTTCCGTTCTTCCAAAACGAACGCACGGAGAAATTCCGAACCGAACGTCAGGTTTTTTTCTGTCCGGAAAAAGTAAGAACGGTGTGCGCCTTGTCGAACATTTTGTATGCACGCGGACCATTCAGGTTTCCGAATCTGAAACCCTGATACGGAAACCTGATCCGGAATCAGTATGTATGCGCCCGGCATTAAAGAAAAAACTTTTTAACCGGATTAAAATTAAAATTATTATATTATTCGGATAAATTTAAAATTATGTTAAATAATTGTAAATTTATAATAATACATAACTTTAATCCGGTTAAAAAGTTTTTTCTTTAAAAGTATTCCTGTGTTGAGATATGAGTTTTCGCCTTATAACATTTGCCGAAGATAATATATGTTACTAAGTCTATGGTTACACGAAAATTAAAGAGTAAAATGTTGCCAAGCTAAAAACACGAAGCGTCGTTTTTCTATAACCGCTTGGCGCTTGAACTAAATTTGAATTGACATAACTCGTGCCGGCGTCATAACAGCTGTTCATACCAACCTGAAACCTCTCAGTTTCGTTTTCAGTGAGTGTAAATCGGTTATTTCAACAAAACACGTGTTTTATTCGTTTGGGACTCAAGTTATTGACTACTAATACTATAATCTCCTTTATTACCTACGATGGAGGATGATAACAGCGCAAAAGGTACGTGAAATACGTAATCTAATACTAGTGAAGGCGTGCTTAACGCATGTTACAAAACAAGCAGACTTTAGAATTAAATTAATATTAGCTATTACTATCGGTTGAGGTGGTATCCTGTTGCAACTCAACGGGTGTTTTTATCGTAGAACCAGCAAGAAGATCGTACAATAGATCTTAGTGAGATGCTTACGTTTTTACCAAATCCTCGAATAATATTCCTTTTACACTATCTTAAAAATATAATAACTGTTTTAAAATACGTGGAATAGTAATCTATGTCTCTACGGTGCTGTTTCAAAGCATATAAAATCGTGTAACGTATCAAGTAATTAATAATATTAAAAAATATTACAGCTCCGGTGACTCGACTGCGCAGAAGGTTATCAGTAGAGTCGACAGAAGAAAGGTCGTCCACACCAAATACGCCCACCAAAAAACGTGGTAGGCCACCAAAGTTGGTACAGATAGATGAAAATGGTAATTTTTTCACTATGTACTAGGTTAATAGCTTCTTATTGAAAAATAATTCCAATTGATTGAAATAGTTGTCAAAACCTATTAAAGTAAATGCTAGCTTTAAACTTTCCATTATTGTTATTTGTTTTGCCACATTTATTTCAAATTGTTATAAGACCTTATTGCTCTATCTTACCTACATTACTTTTCAAGGTAATTTTGAAAATGAAAGTATGTAATTTTAATTTACAATAACAATGCACAAAATTTTACAGATGTAACTCCACCGAAGTCAACACCAAAACGTGTAACAAGGAAAACAAATAAAGATGCTTTGGAACCTCTGGATGACAAACCATTGACACCAGTTAGAAGAAGTACAAGGATTAAATCAAACACAAGTATTGTGTCAGATACTGTTGCTACTACTACAAGTGATACTCCCAGAGCAAAGCGGGTCACAAGAAGAAACTCACAAATAGGTTTGCAATCAATCCTTTGCTATATTTATTTTCATAAAATTTTGCTTAGCTTTGATATGATTAATTTGGTTTTTATGTTTATTATACTATTATGTGATGTATAATAATGTTACAGGTAGTGACAGTGAAATCCCTTTAACACCTGCCAAACAAACTAGAAGAACTAGAAAGGATTCAACACCAAATCTAGATAATGGCAAGTGTATCTTTTAATAAATATTTGTTGCCATGTAAGATACATTTCTTGTCAATTGACAGATCAAATTTATGCAGTTTGATTAATTAACTTTTATGAAAAAAATGTAATATGCCACCCACATATATTATTTAAAATATATGCTATCAGCTTTTCTTTTTCATATTTTTTGTCGTTAAATATTCATTATTTTCTCTTACAGATGAAATTGAAAAAGCAGTACCACAGATAACTGAAATTATTGCTGAAGAAGCAGAATTTATTGAAAAAAGCTTCAGTACACCATCTCATTCTCCTTCCAATAATAAGAGTAAAAAAAGTTCTGGTATAGTTATTAATGAAGGTGAGAAAAAGTCAGACATTAGTGTTATTGATGATGCTAAAAATAAATCTATAGTAAAATCCTCCAGTCCTCCGTCACCAGATATTCAAAAGGAGAATATATCACCTGGGCCAAAGCATAACAAAAAGGGCAACCTCTCTGCCTCTACAATAGACTTATTAAATAATGTAGACAAATTTTCCAAAATTGATACTCTAAACAAAACAACATCGTTTCTGGAATCAAACATGAAACCATATAAAAAAAGAACTATGTCATGGTCAACAAACTCTACAACACCTGATGAAACTCTGAAACAAGAACAAATAAACAAATCTCAAAATTATAATGAATCTGGTGTTGGCAGTTTATCTCAAAATTCTCAAAACATAAAAAATTTAAAAGTTGTTGTAGATAGAATGGACATTGATCAAATATGCAACAATTCTGCAACAGAAAATAAATACCAAGATATATCAAGTGAAGAACTTTTTAACAAAGACCCCAGTGAAGATTCAAAGCCAGAAATAATCATAGAGGAATTCACTACAGAAATTAATATTCAGACAACTGAAAAGACTCAAGATCAATTTGTTCCTGTTGTAGATGTTTCGTCACCAAATGTTGATGTTTCACTACATAAGTCTAAAACAGATAAAAGCATGAATGCTTCTCGTCGGGAAAAAATGTGTAATGACAGTGTTGAGCCAATGGATATTGATCAAACTATACCAGAAAACATGCTAATGCTTGAAGAAAAAGAATCTTTTACAGAGTTAAATAACAAATCCTGTAAAAGTAGCTTATCATCTGAGTCTAAAAGAAAATCTTCAGTATCACAGGCTATGGAAACTGAAAATAAAAGTACTTTGATATTATCACAGCCTAATGATAATACCTCACAAAGAAATAGTCTGGGAAAAAGTCCAATGCCATCAGACAATACGTTTTTATCTAAATCACTTGTAGATTTGGATAAAACACAAAATTTGGATAAGGAACCCAAGAATCAATCAATAACCTGCTTAACAAGTACCCCATTACAACAAAAACCTCTTCAAAGGCTAATTGCACCAATGAATACATCAATTATTAAATCAAATGATAACATTGATGGTACTCCAAAAAGTTTCGTCGATACCAACTCGCCCATAGCGAAAAATGAAAATATTAAACTTTCTTCCGCAAGTAAAAGTCTCAAGGTAGATGATGATTGTGATGACAAGGTCCCAGAAGATAAAATAACGAACATCGATCAATCAATAAAGTCTGTTAATTATAGCCAGATAAAAGATGATTGCAAAAATATATCTATGAGTAACAAGTCTAATGTTCTCACTCCTAAGGATAAGGACAGTGAAAATAATGTGTCTACTGAATCCATTAAGTCAAAGGAGGACAAATTAATAGTAAATGACCATTCTAGTGATGAAGATTCAAGTGACGACATGCCAAATTTGAAAAGTAATGAATCTAAGAGTAAATCAAAAAAGAAAATGTTAATAAATGATGAATCTGATGATAGTGAAATATCTAATGATGAATCTATCTCAAAAAATGATTTAGTTGATGATGAAGCTGACGACGCTGGTGATGATTATAAATCCGGTGATAGTCAGGACGAAGAGGAATTACGATATGCCAAAGAAAACGAAATTACTGATAAAGGTGTCACTCTTACGTCAGATGAAGATTTCTCAAATGACTCTGATTACGAAAAAGATTCCTTCATCGTCAGCTCTGAAGAAGAAGACAATCAGCTGTTAGAAGGAACCGAAGATGACTTATCAATGAGTGATAATGAACTTAAAATGACAGCGAAGTCAAAGAAAAAATACAATGAACGTATGATCAAAGAACAGAAGAAAGCTTCGAGAGAAATGTTTGAATCCCGTCACAAACTAAATATAAAAAAAAGAATGTCATAGAAGATGACACCGATTCCAAATCAGATAATGACTACTCTCCTAAACAGCAGAAAAAAATTAACAGGATGCGATTAGATTCCAGTCACGAAACCAGTGGGCTTAATGAAAGCAAGTCCCGTACTGAAATCAAGAAGCACTTATCTGAATCGAATGTAAATGAAACATTTAACGAAAAAGAGATGACACAAATGAATGTGAGTTCTCAAGAAAGTGACCCACTAGCCACTTCAATGAAAAAAGATCCAAAATCTCCCAAGAAAGGGGATAAGCGAACAAATACAACACTGGACTTTGAAGTATCATCAAATAAGAGTCAATTGAACAATCTCGAAAAAGATGAAGAAAATCCTTTAGAGTCTGAAAAAGATAATGAAACTTCATCCGACAGTGACACAAACAATATAATTAGTAATTATGATTCAATTCTTAGCACCCTGAACAAAGCTAGTAAAATTGACACATCACTTAACCTAGACGTGAAGAAAAAGATGGAAAATAAACGAGCCTCGATAATTGACGAGCTGAATCTAACTCAGTCTGGTAAAAAAGAAAGTTTATCAAACACAACACCGAAGCAAAATCCTAATAAAAAAGATTTGGTTGAAGATGATGATAATTCGTCGTCTGACTCGATCAGTCTCAAACTGCTTATTTCTGAAGATAGCAACACTGATTCTATTAATACTAAAAATGAAGACGAAGCGATTCCTTTGAAAGAGAGTGAAGCTAAGATTGATCTCACAAATAATGAAGAGGGTAAGTTGTATGTTTTGCCTGTATTTGTTAATGTATAAAAAAATCCATTTATATAATATTGCTTATGATCGTGACTCAAATGCAGAACTCATACAGACTGTTTATTAACTGTTGTATTCCTATATTCCTTAGTTATAGGTCTGGATATCCATAGTTGCTCTTCACACTATAAAATCGATTTTTGTTTAGTTTTTTGTAATTTTTTTTTTAAATTAGTAATTGTTTTTATTTTAATGTTTGTTTTGTTTAATAATTGTTTGGATGAATATTTGCATGATCTCTACTTGAATTTCACGTGTTACTTTAAGTGCTTGTCACATTAAAAATTGTATTTTGTGGTTGTTTTTAAAAAAAAATCTATATTAAATAATCAGTAACAACTTTTATAGGTTTGTGCCTCAGAAGTCTGTATCTGTTTCATGATTATTTTTCAATTTAAACACGTCTTCGTCTTTTTGGGTCTAAGACAAGCCGGTTTCCTCACGATGTTTTCCTTCACCGTTTGGGCGAAAATTTAAATGCGACACATATAAAGAAAGTTTACAGCTACCATTAGTATACTGCTGGGAATCGAACCTACGACCTCATGCAAGAGAGACGCACGCTGAAAGCACTAGGCCAATACTGCTTACTAAATTATATATTACAAACACTAATTATACAAATAATTAAGCCAAAAATGGAATACAAGAAATGTATCTCAGCATCCAAATATATAGTGTATGTTAGAGAGAGTATGGTCATAAGTTTATTTAGTGCTATGGATATTTCCAATAGGCTTTTTATAAATTTAAAAAAAAATTGGTTAAAAAGTTTGTACTTTTATTTTGTTATGAACTTGGTTTCCATATTTCCTATGAAATTGTTTTAAAATTAATGTTATTTTATATTTACCAATATTATTAAACATCATAACAATTAATAATTATTTTTGTAGAAAACATGGATTGTGGTTCAGAAAACCTCTTTTTCATCGACACAAAAGGACACCTCGAAGAAGGTAATTATTTATTCTAAAATAGTAATTTCAATTGAACCGCCGCTGTGCTTGATTAGCTAAAGTTTGTTTCTATTCCTAGTAACTGAAACCATAGCTGTAGATCATGGCCAAATAAAAAATTCCTTACTTCGCAATAATGTTAATAATTTTTTTTAGATTCTCCAGCAGAAGAAAAGATTTTCAAAGACATGAATATTTCCAACATTAAAACACCTAAAAGTGAAAAGAAGAAACAAAGGTTGTCTAAATCGCAAACTGATATTAATGGTATGATAATTATATATTATTTCCCTTGATAAATGGACAGCACAAAAATAATTCATTTTGGACCATTAATATTTCAGATCAAAAAAACATTTCAACTTTATTTTAGTAAATATTTTATTAATTTTGTTTTAGTTACACTTATTGAAGAAATTGATCATCAAAATACTTCAAGTGCCAAAACTCCTAAAAGTGATAAGAAGAAACAAGCGTTTAAAGCGATGGCAGATAATGGTATGAAAAATATATTTATACATTATAAACCACGCTACAACCTTTTTAGATCTGGGCCTCAGATTTATTTATCTGTTCTATGGTCATTTGTCGTTTACTTTCACCGCACGAGTAAGTGTTAAATGCGCACATAGACAAAGTCATGGTGCACAACCAGGGATCGAAACAACGACCTCAGGGATGAGAGTCTCATTTTAGATATTTATACATACTAATGTATTATATGTTAATAGAAATGTAAATAAAATAATTAAAACAAATAATAATGACTAATATCTTAATTATATATTTTATCAATTTTATTTCAGATTCACCTATTAAGGAAATCATCAAAACACAGAATTCATCAAATGTTAATACTCCTAAAAGTGAGAAGAAAACGAAGCAAAAGTTATCTGAATCTTTAGCCGATATTGAGGGTACAAACTAATTAATATTGATTATAATTTTGCAGCATTTATACAAAACATATTAAAAATTAGAGTAGATAACAAAACCTCAAAATTTAGAAATTAATTCAATTGCATTAATGACCAGAAATATTTAAAAAAATTATATTCTCTTTCATTTGTAGTATTTTAATTATATTTGAAAGAGTTCTGATATATATCTCTTTTAGATGCCCCAACTGAAGATAAAATTCAAATACAGAATATTTCAAGTATAAAAACTCCCAAAAGTGAGAAGAAAAAGAAGCAAAAATTATCTGAATCCGCTGATCTTGATGGTAAGATCAGTTTTTATTTCTTAATATTGTTAAAGTATGGCAACATTTGTTTTTGGCAAAATCGGGTGAGAAAAATATATATTTAATAATGGCCTGTATAATTTTTTAACATACTTGAAAGGTCGGCAACGCATTTATGAGCCTTCTGGCATTGTGAGTGTCCATGGAAGGTACAACTGTGCCGCCTGTCTATTTGCCCTATATCAATAAAAAATACCCATATTAACCAAAACAACTCACGGGCCATCAAGGTTAAAGGCCGGAATCTCCCTTATTGTCCCTCGCATTAAAAAAAAACATAGTTTTGTAAATGTGTGAGTGTTAAATAGATTTTTCTTATAATTGAACTAATGTAAGCAATTCAGGACCAAAACACTTCACATGCAATCTCCTATAAGAATAAAAGAAAAAGGTGTCAGAATCACAGGCTGAAGATGGTTTCATGGTTTTGCTTTGTAAAATATTTATTTGTATAGGTTAGGCCAAGGCTTATTAATAAATATTCTTTTATTTAGTATTTAAATTATTTTTATTTATTACCCCTAAGTGGTAACCCATTGAGGAATGAATAAATTCACAGTTAGATGCTATTTTACTAATCTAATTCTTGCTTTTATTTTTAAAGATGCACCAGCAGAAGAAAGGATTATCAAAGACCTGAACATTTCCAACAAAACTCCTCAAAGTGAAAAGAAACAGAAATTGTCTAAATCCCAGATTGCAGAAGCACCGATTGAAGAAATCCCGGGCCAAAATACTCCAAGTGACAAGAAAAAGAAAAGGCTATCGAAATCTCATCTCAATATTGGTAGGAGACTTTCCACTTTTCTTGCTTTTCTTAATATATGAATTTCATTTGTATGTATTATTTTAGAAGCCATGCAAGCCGAAGATCAAAATACCTCAAATGTAAAAACTCCTAAAAGTGAAAAGAAGAGGCAAAAGTTATCCCAGTCACATACTGATATTGACGGTTAGACGAGATTTTTATCTATTCACACTATACATACAAGTATTGTAAATTAATACTTTTTTTAAACATGATGCATCTGTAGGCCTTATTGCTACTAAGGTCTTCCTGGCACTTTTAGCTAAGAAATAGTAAAAAAAAACTGTATTTCTTTGAATTTTTTAAATAATAAATTACATTGGGATCAAACAGAAAAATTTTATACGGTTTATAAGTATATTTAATACGGGCAATTTCTTACAGTTGAGCCCGAGGATAATATGGACCAAAACGCTTCAAGTATCAAGACTCCTAAAAGTGAGAAGAAAAAGAAGAATAAATTATCTGAATCAGCGGTTAATATTGAAGGTGAGATCAAGATTTGTACCTTTTTTTTAATTTTTACCAATGTTGATAATAAATATTTTAATAGTTTCAGAACTGAATTTGTCGCAAGCAAAAACTCCTAAAAGTGACAAGAAGAAAAAACAAGATTTTTCTGATTCCCGAGGGAATATTCAAGGTATAAAATTTCATCTTGCCTCCTCTAAACAGAGTTATAAATATCCATACCTTATTGTTAAAACATAAATCAGTCTAAATGCATGTTTTTAACTAAAGTACTCATTTACCTCTTCATAATAGCATAAAGACAATTCAAAAGAAAGAGTATTTTTGTTAATAGTCCAATTGGCGATTTTTTTAAATATTTTACTGATTTTCCTTCATAACTTTATGTTTCAAATGTTTTACGGTTTCCATTCGATTCTAATATTATTAAATGATTTTTGTACTGAATAAACTTAAAAACTACTGAGCTGATTTAAAAAAACATACTAATTACAAAAAAATAGTTTCAGAGCTGGACTCATCAAATGCGAAAACTCCTAAAAGTGCAAAGAAGAAAAAGCTTAGTTTATCCGAATCACAAACAAATATTCAAGGTGAATATTTCTTTTTTAAATCTGTTAATTGTGAAATAATTTTATTACTTTTGTAAATTATAAAAGTTGTCATCAAAATTCATTAATACCTATTTTTTATTTACAGAACTGAACTCGTCCAATGCCAAGACCCCAAAAAGTGCAGAGAAAAAGAAACAAGATTTATCTGAATTGCAGAATAATCAAGGTAAATCCATTTTTAAATAATATATCATTATCATTTGTTTGCTTATAAAACACTTTGGGTATGTTCCGATATACACTGCAAGTACTGTATAGTGCTCCCACTGTTCAAAAATTCGTTCCGCTATGGACGCCAGTATACAGCCGCAGCGTCCTAGGGAAATATATGACGTCACAAATCCCCGCTATACTTCTACTGCGAGCACTGGCGTTTTCGAGGTAAGGTACTCGCAGTGCTTTGATCACGTGATCAATCAAAACCACTTGAATGCCTAACGGCTGATATAACTTACAGTTTAATAACAAACATTTAAAATTCTAACTTACTTTCTTTGTAGTATTAATTCAATTGACAGTTAATATTAATATAGATTTTTTTAATGCGATAATACTACAATAATAGTTTTTCTTGTTGAATTGAAAAACTTTGATGCACTCATTTGAAAATTGTGTCGAAAAACGAAGCTGACTAGTATACTGGACTGCGTTCCGTTTTAAATTGTAACCAGTATAGCTGGCTATAGAGAAACGGTTTCACAGTATACTAAATTGACGGTACTCTGTACAGTGGTCGCAGTGTATATCGGAACATACCCTTTATGAATTATTGTAATACCTGCCAAGTGCCAAATAGCCGTTCTGCCAAAACTTAGTACTATGAATCCCCGTTGACCGGTTATTAGACATCTCTGTTGTTTCCACCATGTAGGACGCTACATAATAATGATCGGTTTCAAAAAAGCACTTTTACCAGATTTTCGAAAATGTTGTAGTTATTTTACACTTGCCTTAATAAGTTCCTGGTACAACAGAACATTGAATCGTTGGCTTTGTACTCTATTTAAATATTCTCTTTTTCAGAGCTGGGCTCTAAAGCAAATACACCTAAATCTGAAAAGAAGAAGAATCGAGATGTGTCACAGACAAATATTGAAGGTAAGTTCTGGCACAGACAGATTTTAAAAATATGTGTAAGTTTTGATATTGTCTGTTATAAAGTTAATAATATTTTGTGATGAAGGCAATTTTGATAAAGAACTTTTTTTTAATATTAATTCAAAATTTACCAATGCAAACACAGCAAACTATGTACTACTACACTTTCAAATCGCAACACATTTTCAGGACTCATAATTTGTTTTAAGTATGGCCATATTATTTCTTGCTATTTAATAAATAAAAAATAGTTTCAGAAGTACCAATAGAAGAAATTGTTGCCGAGATGGACTCGAATGTAAAGACGCCTAAAAGTGACAAGAAAAAGAAAAGGAAGTCTGGCAATATTGAAGGTAATTTCACAACATTGGCCATATATGTATGTATACTGTCTAATTTGTAACCTACCTGAAATTAAATATATCTCTTAGTAAGTTCTATATATTTTTTTATTTATGTGGTAGTGTTTCTAAAAAATCCACTCGAACAGGGGTTTTTTGATGATATAAATTAATTTATATAAAGGCAAATAGAAAGCGTTTTAGCTGGCACTTTTTGTTGAGTTTTTCATAGAAAATATATTTATATTTTACATAAAAATGTTCTATTAGTGAACGATAATCCTTAGTAGCCGTTTTACTAAATGTATCCTTTGCCAGGCGTAGCTGTGATAAAAAAAAATATTTTTAAGGTTATTATTTCGTTTCAGATGCGAATGTCGTTGAAGAAGTTTCAGTTGTCAAAACACCTAAAAGCGCTGAGAAACTCCCTCAAACTCATATGGAAGGTATGTATTTTTTACTTATTCACGTCAGAATGGCGAAATTGTTTTTAATAAAATTTGTCACAAAATTATACATGAACATGATATGGGCATGAAGCAGACACATTTCTACATCTAAAGTCGTTATCTCTCTAACCGTAACTCGCATTTTGTGGACCTTGACCGTATGAGAAAAAAAAATTGCAAACATAGACAAACATCCACAGCATAGCCGGGATTCGCACGACCTCGGGTTTGGGAATCGCAAACTTGGCCATGCTTAAATGATATAATAGTATATGTATTATCATATTATATTTATTACAGATTTGGTAAATAAACAAGAAATTGATTTAATAAAGACTAAAGGTGAAAAGAAAAAGAAAAAACAGATGTTACAATCTGCAGATAGCGTTGAAGGTAAGATTTATTATGGTACATTATACATCATCAATTAATTGATAGCCACACCACAATTACACTTTTTCAATTAATTAGTTCAGAGATGCCTTCAACTCTCTTCAACTTTCATACATTTGTAATAATTATATTTCTTTGTTTAGTTCTATATTTGTAAATTTATATAGTTCAAGTTTTTTTTTTAAATTATGTAGATTTTCACAGTGTGTATGCACAATATATTTTAATATGAATCAGGTACTAATCAATTTAGACTTAGACCGTCTGAAAAGGTCCCATTTGGATATTTAAAAGATAACTAACACAGAACCCAAGATGGATAGGGCACAGTTAATTGTGACTTACACTAATTATTTATCTATTTAATATGTATGTTGTGGATGAAATATTTATTGATCCATAGACAAACCACAATTTAATAAAAATTATATAATTTAATAGCATGTTTTGCTTGCTTCAAAGTCAAAGTCAAATCGTTTATTTCAATTAGACCATCTAAAATGGCACTTTTGAACGTCAAAAAAAAAAAATATAAAGATGATTCTAGTTGCCCCTTCCAAAAGGTAGTTTCGTGTGGAGAAGAATGGGCAAGAAACTCCACACTTACTCTTTTAAAATAGGTTTACAATATTTTGTTACATTTGTTAAATAATTATATGTGAAGACAATGTACTCTTAGAATAAACTACTATACTAAAAAAGTTAGTATACATGTTCCTCACATATTTACAAATATCGAAACCTTAGAATATTAACATTAAAGAGTAATAAAAATATTAAAAAAACACAACAAAACAGTGTGTGAGATACAAAAAAAAATAATTACATTTGTAGCATTATATAAATTAAAAAATAATAATAATAATAATAACAAAAATATGTTAAAGCAAAAAATCAGCAACCAATTTGATTTTGTCCAGGCTATAGAGCCAATCATAGGATTGTCCTATGGAGCAGGACCAGCATGTTTCCAAGCATTCTTATCTTGAATATAATCATCTAATTTGTAATATGCTTGTTTACAAAGTGTACTTTTAATAAAACATTTAAATTTTCGTTCATTTAGTTTTAAAATGTCACAAGGTATTTTATTGTAACATTTTACACAGTACCCCATAAATGAATTTTGAACTTTGGCTAATCTGAAAGATGGTTGAGCTATTTTATCTTTATTTCTAGTACTAAAATTATGTCTTTCATTTATTTTACTAAAAAGATGTAGATTCTTTCTTACATACATAATATTTTCATAAATGAATTGGCAAGGTACTGTCATAATATTAATCTTTTTAAATAGTTCCCTGAGAGATTCGCAACGACGTAGATTATAAATGGCCCTGACCGCTCTCTTTTGCAAAATAAAAATGGATTCTATGTCAGCAGCCCGACCCCACAGTAAAATGCCGTAAGACATTATGCTGTGAAAGTAGCTAAAATAGACCAAACGCGCAGTTTCTACATTGGTTAAATATCTTATCTTTCTAACCGCATAAACGGCTGAGCTCAGCCGCCCCGCAAGAGATGTGATATGAGGTCCCCATTGTAACTTCTCGTCTAGCGTGATGCCTAGGAAAACCGTTTGATTAATAAATTCCAGTTTTCCTTCATTCAACATTATGTCACATTCCTTACTTTTAACATTTAAGCTTAAAGAACAAGTTGCCTAAAATAATCAAGTAATTGTTAATTAAGGATTATTTGTTTTAGGCCAAAGTGAAAATTTAGTCATAGGTAAGAAAAAGAGGAAGAGGTCAAACACTGTTCCCGTTGAAGAAATTATTGGTAAGAACATTTATGAAGTTTTATTGAAAACCCATCAAAATTAAGAAGAACATTTCGTAAAATTATATATTTCTTCTCATTTTGATAGAAAAGTAAGGTTTTAAATTCATTATAGAAACAAGTCCTTTGAGCAAAATTTTAATTTTGAATTATTTGTGGTATTTTTGTAGATACAGCTTCACAGAGCAATGGCAATGAAAAGAAAAAGAGAAAAATAAAAAATACGGATGAAACTGTAAAAGGTAAATAAAATATAATAATATTGAAGTTATTCTTCTTTTGGCGCGTAATAGGGAAAAATGATGAGAGTAAATTTTTACGATGCGCGCGTACACCGTCACTAAAAACCGACACCCAGAAGTTTAGTTATAGTCAACATTTTAGTTTAATCTATTGATAGTGTCGTTTTTTCTACAAACGTAGAATACAATTTTTGTAAAGATTTTTATCTTGTTACGCCAAAAAAGTATAACTTGTAACGCGTGTACCTAAGTACGCACACGTTTTTTTTTTGTAGATCAAAACTTTTAATTATTGGTTTTATTTTAGCGAATTAGAATTCTTCAAGCGATCAATATATAGTAAATAATTAAAAAAGTCCTATTTTACTACATCTAAACAAATTATTATTTTTACAGTAGCAGATGTCAAGAAAAGTAAAAAACGCAAAGAAAGGGAAGACGATGAACATGATCAACCAAAGGTTAGATTTAAATTAAACTTCTTTATATGTTTTCTTATTCGATTTAATAACTTAACTAGATTATCACGAACAACCTACTTATAAAAAACAAATTGCTGCTTAAATAAACTTGGTCCTCATAAAACATGGATCAACTCTTTATTTGGCGTCTATAGTCTTTGCCTTACAACTGTTTTTGTTTAAGGTCCAACCGAGTTCCTCAAAAATGACAGTTCCCCGCTTGCCCATGTCTGTCATTACCCAGCTGGCGGATAATCCGAAAATACAAGCAAGGAAGAAGCCAAAAGTAATTTCAACCAGCGAATTTATAGTCGAGGACTATCGAAGAAAAATGCCCTCGACCTATTTAGAAGAAAGTGTTTATCTAAATGATGATTCACCTGAAAAGAAGAAACCAAAGAAAAAAATACCCAAAGTGCTGCCATCAATGCCTTCGACCTCTTCCTCCAACCACGGATTTACGACTACATTTAAAATAAATGTTATCTCGGCTGAAACTAAATTTGTCGCACAAGCTGACAACGCCGCCAACTTCAGGGAAGACCGTTTATACAATAAAAATCGAAAGCGACGCACATACGAACACTTAAAGAAACACACGAGTTCGAAATTGTCAAAATTTTAGTTATCTTTTTCTTTATTTATGGACCTAAGCCGCCTGTTGTTTATTTAATTAAGCATTTGTTGAACGTGACTTTTGTATGCATTTCATTGTTTTCTGAAAGTTTTTTATAAGTATTCTTTTTAGTTAATAATTTGTAATTAGGTTAAGTTAATTTCTTTTTCGCCTGTTTTATATCTGGTTTTACACTGACGTTGTTGAAATTTTAACTTAAGAATTAGGAATGCAATTAGGTTTTAAGTTAAATACCAGTCTCTTAATTTTTCCGATCATACATTTAACTTGTTTCGACTTCCATTCCACTGTTTTATTCACCTTTCCACTAGAATAATGTGCAACGGGATACTAATCTAATCTAATACGGGAATCTGGTCCTCAATTTAATTATATGCATTTGTATTTTACCGCCTTTTGTGTGTTTTGCGTATGAACTAGATGGCGCTAGATGCTGTTGCGAGAATTTCCTCTAACCATGTGCCTTGTTTTGTTTAAAAAATATGATGTTTTGACATGTTATTAGTATTGTATGTAAATAAAGCTACTCATTGATATTCAACGGTTATTTTAAAATATCAATTAAATAATAAAATTCTATTCTAAATATCTAAAATAGTTTTCGCTGGTCATGCCGGTGTAAACAAACCGCCATGTTGTTTTATGTGACACGACAACTTGAAATGGCACTTATTGAAAAGAGTTCTTATCTCCTTGTATTGATAACTATTGCAGTCAATAATTTATTAATTTATTAAAAACTAAAAAAGTTAATTCTTAAAACCTCTATTTGTAGTAATAAAATTTAAAAAAAATGTCTATTGACATCCGATAATCGGTCGGGGTAAAATTAAACCAATAGAAACTGTTTTTCCGCTATCACGTGGTCTGTTTCATCCAATAGCAATGGAAGCCATTCTTTGTGTACCTTTTCACGTATTAGTAAAGTAAAACATTGTGGTCTATGGAGTGAGTGGTGTAATTTTGTCAAATTCATGACATTAATAACGTAAATGTGTGAAATTCAGGATTATTCTATAGTGCATAAGGATATTTATGTCAGTAAATATTCGGTGAGTAAAAGTTTTAACCTAATACACGTAAACATAATGTAAATAATACATGGCGAGAAAGTAAGTGTGATGTCCCGCTCTTTTTAATGTCATATAATAAAATTCTCCGCCTTAAACGTTTTTTAATTGGGTTTAACTATTTTATACTTGTTTCACATATTTTAATTCGTTATATTATCATCCTAATTCTTTATTTAGTATCAGTACTATTAATATATGGCGGGAAATCGTGTTGTCTTGTTAGTTACGTAGTAGGTGTTTGACAAGTCTTCCTCTAATGGTGTAAAAACAGAATAGTCTGGTATACCTTCTTATAATCTACAACTATTATAAATATTTGATGATTAAACATATTAAATACTTAATGACGTTCTTAATTCTTATCCATGTACTTACCATAATCGAAAAAAATAAAATTTGTAACGGACGATTCATCGACATAGTCTATCTCTGTCTTTCGCGTTCATTTATAACATGTTTAAAAGAGATGTACATACTTTGAGCAGGTATTATTATTTACTACAAAGTTATTTTGGTGTTTTTGTATAAAAACAATCATTTGCGATAGCATCAAACAAAAATAATGTTATCATTTTGATTAAAAGTAAAACCGTTAACAAACTAGTTCCTGTATTTGCGAAATTACATTATTTATATTGATACCATTTCACCGTCAATGAACTTACTATCACTCCTTGTAGTATTAATCGTTACTATTCAGTATTCATACCATAAGCCGGCAATACACGATAGGCTAATTGATATTATCAACCTTAAAACAGTATAGTATTAGGAATGTGTAACATTATTTTATATAAATTTATGATTGTATGATACATGATTACTTTTTCGTCCTTACGACTTACAATGCAAATTCTAAAATTATAACACACGTAAACAATAATTTAAGTGTCATACATATAGGTATGTATATTAACATAAGTCATTGAACAATTTCAAATATATTTAATAATAATACAAGCTCATTGAAACTATTGTTTAAAATTCTAGGGTTAGATTTTCTTACGTTTCTACAGTTATAACTTCAATCAGTCCACTTTTGTTTATGACCTAGGGACCGTTCCCACGGCCAGTTTCAAACGAGAATTTCAAAACGCTTAACAATGAGTGCACTTTGTCAATGTGTGAGTGGCTAGTAAAATGTGTATACGCAATATCGTTAGTGTAGTTGAGTGCCATAGAGTAATAGATTTAGCTTATACACGGTCTCCGTAGTCTTTTATGCCAGTCAATTCACAGAAAAACGATATACAAACTACAACCGATGAAGATACATAGGTTTATAAATGTTACGGTACATATAAGTGAAATATTACTTAAAAGTTTCTGCACGACCAAAACTAAGTGTGGTTCTTTATGATTAAGTAATGCATATTATACTGAAAATTATAAGAAACAAAAATCGGATTCCAAGGCCCAAAATGTTTTATAGCCTATTTATCACATTCATTACAATGTTCCCATCGTTCGGAAAGATTCTGATAGAAAATAAATTCTCCGTATTCTGGGAATCAAAAAGGATATTGTGTAACTGTTATCGCCGCTCTGTTGGCAGAATGCATTCTTAAAAGGGTCTACTGCAACTTTGTCGTAGTGTGCGTGCCTTTCTACCCTTGCTTGTGTGCGTGATTCACACACCTGTGCGTTTTTAACTCCCCTATTAATATTAGTTCCTTAACTTAATCAAATATCAGAACTTCTTAAGCTAACATTCACTTTATGTGGAATTTAAAATTTCGTAACATTATTTATTATTAGTTTACTTAAGAATAGCTTAGAATACTAAAAGGTACTCAACCTTTTAGAATTATCGCGCTAAAACTACTGAAGCTTTTCCTAATGTCTCTACACAGATATAATCACAGCCATCAGTAATATATATATTATTATACTATTCCTGAACATTCGAAAAGACTTGCTTTTCAAATAATTTTTAAAAAGTTTTTTGTCGAGAGATTTTTTTTTTAAATCCATTGAGAATTACAATGGCCTTCAAGGTTGACTCATACATATAACAGGGTTATTGAACTTTTAACTAATCGCGAAAATTAACGTCGATCCGTGAATAAAGTGACATTGAAAAACAACTAAATATGTTTTTATGTATAGTTTGGAAGCGCACAAAGTTTAATAATTCCGGTCTAGACATAACAAGATGTATAAAAGTTGGCAGTATAATATTTCAGTTTCCCTCCTTTCGAGCGGGGTGTGGGGCAAAGGGGACGGTCCCAATCGATACGGGACCCCTTCCATGTAAACCACACTGCGCGCGCACGTGGAAAATTGTATACTTTTCGCGCCAACAACTTTTCAATATAGGAGTTTGTCTGTGGATTTGCTCGCTGCTTGTAATAATAATAGTATTATAGTAATTAAATTAATTGCCGGCTCGTGTACTATTACACCAATAAATTAAATCCTACACATATTTTTAAGAAACATAAAACTATTAAATTACTAGTTTTTAAATAAATTGTTGCTCTATCGATATTTTTATTAAAACCATAGTTCAAGATGTAAGGCGATTCGTACGTCTACGTTGGGTTCAAGGCGATCTCGCGCGGTCATGATCGAGGACACAGCCCCTCACGGCGCCTCCATGCCTCCCCTCCACTCGCTGAAAAATATTCAAATAACTTTAGATTTAGCGATTCACAGACGAATCATAAAAACGTTGAAATAGCAACACTGTGATTGGATTAGCTGTATATTATACAAATTGTTTTATTTTTTTGTCTATTAATATGCTATGTTAATTGGAGCATAGAGAAAAAATTTCTTATAAAATATTGCTATCTTAAGTTATTCCATAGTAATCTAGATGAACTCTCGTCAAAGTGAGTTCATGGCCTTTAAGAGGCGGATGCACAGCCGTGAAATACTTCATACATGTGGCAAAATGAAACGTGCTTACATACACGTTCTATAAACGATTTGTTAATATGCAAATTTAAATTCAAATATATGTGTATTCATAGGGGAAATAATCGTCTATTAGCAATATTGTTATAAAATGACTTTTTAGAAATGTTTTGGAAATAGACAAAGAATAATTTATTTATCGTAACACCGGCTAAAGATCGTACAGTGGCATCATATTAATTAGTTATATAAACTATAAAATAATGTAACCCGCCAATATGCCGTATTTTGGGCACGGTATGCCGGCTGCAATGTCGTTAGGGGTCGTTTTACCCTCGTATAGCTGTCCTTTTCTGACACCCCTAAAAGGTTATCTCTTTCCCACTAATGAAAATATACATATAATTCTTCTGTACGAGGCCCGATTTTGATACAATTTTTTTTAACTCATGATGAGAAAAGGCAGATTTACGGTTGTATTAATAACTGAAAACTGGTGATAACGTTTAAGAAACGTAAACAATTTTAAAAACGTAATGTAAGCTTTGATAACATTACCTACACTCTTATCAGTCAATGCACTCGTTTAGCTTGTATTATTAAATAGAATTATGTAGGAAATATTAAACTTATGATAGACTTTAAAATAATCCTAACTACATATAGTATATTTTTTTTAGTATTAAGGTATTAAGGAACCTTAATTGGTAAAACTTTAATTATTAAAAAAATGATTTATAGTTTCTACATACCAATTTTTATAAATTATTATTATTAAATTGTCGGTCAGATTTTATTCACGCTATGCCGATAATAACTAAATACATAATTAAAAAAAAATTAATACATGATTAAATTAATTTTTACTAATTACAATTTAAAAAATATAGTAATAACGGACTGTAATAATATAATCCAACCTACCCAAATTTATTTTTACGCAAACTCGAACAACTCCACTAGTTAATTTTGAACATCTTTCCGCCTTATGCTATTACAAACAGGTAACAAAAGAACCTTGTACACCTGTCTTAAAATTTGCTTGTACAAATGACAACTTTAAAAACTTTAGAAGTTACGAAGACTTTAGATATTATAAAATTTACAACAATAAACAATTTAATATAGACATTGGTATAATCTTAAATAAAATTCATCTTAAATCTTTCTTTCAATTCTTAAAAAAAAAAAAAAACGACTCAAATATAAGAATAATAAGAGTCTTTCCTCTAACTTTGATTTTGTGCCCTTTGGAGTAGAGACTCTCGGGCTTTCGAGTGCACAGGCGCTAATTAAAGATTTAAGTTGGCGCCTGGTAGATAGTACCGGTGACCCCAGAGCTGGTGCTTTCCTCGCTCTACTAATAAGTATCGCAATACAGCGAGGAATATATTATCAATGTATATCAATTTTTAATAATTATTATTACTGTGTAGTTTAAGAATCGGATATTAAAGATATTGATTACATACATAAATACGTATAAATTGTTATATCTCAAAAGTACAGGTAACATCGGACAACATTAGTTCTTTGAATTCAAACCGATGCCATTGAAAGTCGAACACTTAACCTGCCTAATGGAGTACACCAGACACCATCTATTTATAGGCTACAATTAACAAAAAACGGCCCAAATGGCCGAGGCTAGAAGCGCCGAGCTTTTTGTTACCTATCCCGAACAGTTCTTGGAATAACAAGACTTTTGTTGACGTAGGTCTTTGTAGACATTTTCGTGCTTTCTATTGAAACAACATTCTACATATATCTTTACTTAAATAATGATCCAACTATCTACAATATATTACAGATTATGTAAATCTCTTTAGTCGGTTATAATATTATAACTTCCTAAAATAGCTATAAATACTTATTACTTAATAAATAATCTAGTGTAAATCTTTTACGCTATATTTCCAACATTCTATAATTATTGTATTTTAAATAAAACTTTGAATGAGCGCGAAGGAGATGGCAACAAAAACAACCGAGTGATAGGGCATTGCATACCACAAAAACCGGTTTCCGCTCGTAGTGGAATCCCGGCGCACTGTCTCGTCACGATGGGAACTATTTATATTCAACTAATGAAAAATGGCGCGAAACTACGGAAATCCTTATCGCAATATCTATTGAGATAGCTATTACGTGTTGCACGAATTGGTTATGTAGGGAATGGTACTGTTGATAAATAATTTAGGACCCAGGGAAGGTAGGAATCACAACCGTCTCGATTTGTTTCTACCGATTTGTTTTAAACTCAACTGTACCAAACGATTTAATATTATGATGATATAATATTTTTTTATTAAATAAATTTATATATATACTAAATGATTATTAACGAACTGTAAGTTTGAATGTTTTCTCGTAATAATAATAATAACATTCAATGGCAGTAATACAAGTATAACGCTTTATGACTGTAGAACATAGGGCAGACAGATGTTATCCTTATTTAGTTTACTTGGCCCAGGTTTTAGGTACTTATGCGATTCCATAAAAAGTTTCCCCAACTGTTGTTTACGGAATCAGTGCAGATATTAAAACAACTACATTGGAATTGAATTTCATAAAGTCGTGTCTATTAGAATCAGCAGTAACATTTGCCATTTTCAGCTAGTTTTTAAAAGCCCTGTAGGACGGTTTGTAATATTGTACTAGTGATCTTTCGCAGGGCGTATTAATAATTAATTAAAACTAAAATATATTACAGGGGTGCTCCGAAATGGACTTATACATCACCGATTCTCTTCAGGACATGCTGGACATGGACATAAAGAATGAAATAGCTACAGATTTGAGCAGCGTAACTGATTTTTCTGTTAGTATAAAACCATTTAAATTTATAAAAAGTTGGTCCCCGTAGAATAATATTTTCCCCCAAAAGTTTACGAGCAAAGTTTCTCCGACAACCTTAATAACGACCATTAATATAACATGTAGATTGTGAACTAAAGAAGAAATATTAACAAGAATGTTATTTCAGGATTCGTTAGGATTAAATTTCTCGGAAATGCCACCCTTACTAGACATGGACACAGATAACTCGGTCACGTGGCTCTGCAATACATCGTCCAGTTTTGTACAGAATTTAGATTTATATGGCTCCGAAGCGGACGCCGTGATGGTCAATCCCAACTCAGTGATGCCATCCACCTTCGCAGAAACCCCCGTAAAGAGTATGGTGAAGGAGGAAGCGTCGAACCTACTATTAACATCAGTTGTGAATAACGACTTAAATACACGCACGTCACCCAGCCCAAACGAAGAAAAAAGCCACCTAACATTCTCCCCAAACACAATTAAAGTAAAGCAAGAGCCTGAAGACACATCAAAGAAGCCCGACGACGCGCCGCAGATGGTTATCTACGTACGGAAACAAGACAAGAACGTCGTAAAGGACTTATTAAAAGACTTAGATACCAGCAATGTCAAACTGAGCACGTCATTATCCCCCCTCACGCGAATAAAAACAAATCAGCCAGAAATAATCAAAGTCAACAAGAACTGTCCGATAATCAATACTAGCGCAAAAATTTCCCAACAGATCGGCACTAAAACGATAATATCGGGGAACATACATATACTGGACACGCAACAATCTAGGACAATTATAGCGAATAATAAGAGCCAGGCGGCGATTTTAATTGAAAATTCATTGAGCAATAGGCAAATAATTAAAACCTCAGTGGGAGGCTCTTATATGGATAGTCAAGCGAAATATGTAAATACTAGTAAAAATACCATGAGCGAGTTTCCTAAGCCGGCGTATTCCTACTCTTGCTTAATAGCCATGGCGCTGAAGAACTCCAGAACTGGCAGCTTGCCGGTTTCGGAGATTTATAACTTTATGTGGTAAGTAATTTTTTATAATTTTAATTTCCTTTTCGTGATTGAACCCGGTAAGGGAGCGTTCAAGTATTACGCCACGCAATTTTTGGGAGATTATTGACCTCCCCCCCCCATTTAACGTAACTGTACCCAATAGTAAAACGTTTCGTGACCACCCAGTGACTCTTTATACCTTTTTTTTTTTTTTTTTTTATTAGCCGGATACTCTTTATACCTATACCTAAAAGTTACCATTATGTGTAGTATTTTTTTTTGTAACATTTATGTTGAACAAAATTGACATATGTATTTTAGAAAAGATAGCGTCTAACATTTACTGTAGATATATGTAATATGTGGTTTAATAAATACTTAATGTTTGGTAATTGTATAATTTTTCAGTGTTACTTGTAACATTTATGATTGTTGAAGTTTTCAACCAAAGGGGAAATACTTTACCCTTAGTATTTCTTTTATTCTTTTTGCTAGCGTTGCCTGGTCGAGTTTGCTTGTTAGTGATAAGGCCGCCCGTAGCATACCTATTATTTTAGTTATATTACATAAAAATTGAATCGAACTCGTATTCACAATACCTTTTTTAGACAGTGTCTGTTTAATGTATTTATAAAGATGTCACAATCTTGTCGTCATAGCCAAAGAATTAGCATAAAATAACTACTTACTAATTCATTTTTATTTATTACTTTTTCATAATTGCCTGGCAGAGATCATTTATTAAAGTACACCACATCATAATATAATATATTACATTTTATACATTCTATGTATACATAATAAAATATATAATATATGACATTTTCGGTGCATATACATTTTACCAAAATTATTCCAAAATAGAAAAAAACAATTGAACAACAAATTTTAGTTTTTACTTGATAATTACATTTTATATATTATTATATATTGACCTTATTATAAAATAGTCTGTATTAAAGTACTAAATAAGAATTACAAGTCCATATCACTATGTTTAACATTAGTACACGACCTTCGACGGAAGGCCTCCAAGTTCTGCCACTTGTCTCTGATCCTCGCCACCATTCCAATCCTAGCTATCTCTTTTATCTCTGCTTTTGAATAAATGTAAGAAATGTATTAAAGAAAAGCTATATTTATGATTATCTAGTTGATAAAAGGTCCTGGGACTAGTGCTAGACAGGCTACTTCTAATTAATTTGCGATGTTTATTTTAAAATAAGTGTTGTTTGATGATTTGCTATTTTAAAAGAGTACCGAGATATTTTTACTCCGGCTTTTTCTCTCGGCCTACACCCTCTGTCTTCTATGTCGATGAGGAGGGATGTCGTGACGTGAATAAGTGATACCTGTATCTTATATTCCATAATAAACATATTTTATTTTCCATTTTACCATGTGGTGCGCTTTCTTTCTTTTTTCTTCCCACTGGGTCATTCCAAGTAAGGGTCTTTTGAATATCTGTCGAATATACTCTGGTTTAATAATAATATATGCTTTATTTTACGAATGTTCTTAGTATTTACTTATACCAAAATTTTAGTCGTCTGTGAATATGAACCCCTCTGGGGTCAAAAGGCCATTTCCAACCCTTTCCAGGTGTTCCGTTTTTGCCAATAGTTTTTTTTTATGTAATAGTAGGCAAACGGGCAGGAGGCTCACCTGATGTTAAGTGATACCGCCGCCCATGGACACACACTGCCAGAAGGCTCGCAAGTGCGTTGCCCAAGAATTGGTACGCTCTTTTCTTAAAGGACCCTAAGTCGAATTGGTTCGGAAATTTTTCAGTGGGCAGCTGGTTCCACATAGTGGTGTTGCGCGGCAAAAACTGCCTTAGAATAGTCTGCCAGTCTTTTCCTGCTATTTCTATTAAGTCATCAGCCGGCCGTCTTTTTGGTACCCTGATCAAGGTATCAGGTATTTAAAAAATCATCATCAAGGTATTTAAAAAACTTTATTATACTTTCAGTCAACACTTTCCATACTTCAAAACCGCACCAAACGGTTGGAAGAATTCCGTGAGACATAACTTAAGTTTGAATAAATGTTTCGAGAAAATTGAAAAGCCTTCGAGTAACGGAAGTCAACGTAAAGGTAAATCATTATTGACCTTTCTTTTCTGTGTTTAAAACCTAAATGTATAATTGCACTCTGAATTAGTGTTAGTGTACGTTAGTTTTAAGTGCCTACTATTCGATTTTTTTTTTAATTATTTTGAATTTGAATTTCAGTTTTTATTATATGTTTTGAAAATTTACTGTTTCGTTAACAATTTCCTTGTAATTTCTTACTAAAACTTATAATTTAAGTTTCTTAAGTGAACAATTCAATTTTTTAATGTTGAATTTTTGAAATGTTAAGTTGGGGTATTTGTTTTGATTTTCTTCTTTCTTCTTTAATTATTTTTATTATTACTTTATAGGTTTAGAAAATTGTAAATACTGTATTTGTGTAAATAAAATTTTAATATTTAAAAAAAAAAAAAGTTGGGGTATAGGGTAAAAAAGTTTAAAAAACAATGATATCGCAATGACAAGGCAATGTATATAAAGAAATTGCACTCTTAATTATATATTCGTATCTTTCTGTCAAATTGTGTGTATACATTGATGAAAGGAGATAGACTATTTCAATTTAATTTAATTTAACGGAATTTGATTCAGTGTTGTCGTTAAAAATGTTCGATACAACCTCTTTAACTGGGCCTCAGATTTCTGTATCTGTTTCATGATCATTTGTAAATCTAACAGGCAAGTAGGTGAACAGCCTCCTGTGCCTGACAAACGCCGTTGATTTTTTGAGTCCAAGGCAAGCCTGTAAACATCCTCACGATGTTTTCCTTCACCGTTTGGGCGAATGTAAAATGCGCTCATATGAAGAAAGTCCATAGGTGCACAGTCGGGGATCGAACCTACGGCCAACCTACTGTCGTCGGTTAAAATATTAATAAAAAAGTATTTTTTAGGTTGTTTATGGGCCATGAATCCATCGAAAGTTGGCAAAATGGACGAAGAAGTACAGAAGTGGTCTCGGAAGGATCCTCAGGCTATTAAGAAGGCCATGGTTTATCCCGGTAAGTAACTCTAAACTCCAGTTATCCAGAAAAATTGAAAAATCCCATTTTGCGATATTAAAAAAATTAACTGTCGAGGGGGATGTCGTTGAGACTTCATGTTGTAAATGTGAAATATTAACATTTCCAGAAAGCTTAGAAGCCCTAGAACGAGGCGAGATGAAGTACTCCGGCTTCGGGAGTGACACGGAGGCGGAGGACGACGCTGACGTGGATGTCGACCCGCTTCTTGACCCTGACCTCGAGATTGATCCTGAGGTCAAAGAGGAAGTGGACGACGATACACTTGTGGAACAGGTAAATATATTAATGAGACCTCTATGAACAAATGTACATACAAAAAATAATTTCGTCTTTCCGATCAAGTATTACGGAAGCAGATTTACTGCAATTTATCCCCCTCCCCCTTCCTCTTGTCAGCAAAAGTAAGCAAAGCTCTCAAAAATAATAGTACATAATGTTTTGTAACAATCCTCGAAAATGCATTTCGTTTTCAAGCATAGACAATGTGTCGGTAATATGTGTAAAAAAGTAAATAATTACTATTGACGTAATCACCGAATAAGAAAATAAAAAGAACCCCCTCCCCACTATACTGCTTACGTAATACTTGAACGACCTCTTATCATAAATATATGAATGAGAAATCAAATTATCTGTACCAAGTAGTCAGTAAGTAAAAGTAGTCAAGTAGTTAGTTTTTTTTTTTTTTTTTTTTTTAGTTACTTTTTTTTATGTCAGTTATGTTCCCGGAATCGAACCTAGCGCCTCTCATTTACACGCCAAGAAAATTAAAATTGCATATAAACGCTCTCTCGAAAAATAAAATTATTCGTGCGTTATCAAGCTGTGTTTTTTTTGGAATAAAAGATCTAGATTCAAATTTGGCGCCAAACTGCGTAGATAAATGATTTATCTAATAATAGATGAATTTATCTAATAATAGATGATAATCTTTAGGTTTAAACTCGAATTTAATTAATTAATATTGCTCATACAAATGGTTAACCAGCTGCCCACTGAAATATTTACGAACCAATTTGACTTATGGTCCTTCAAAGAGCGTACCAATTCTTAAAAGGTCGGCTACGCACTCGCGAGTCCTCTCGCATTAAGGGAATCCATGGGCGGCAGTATCACATAACATCAGATGAGCCTCCTGCCTGTTTGCCCCCGGTTCTATAAAAAAAGTGCGTGCGTACAAAGTACACATGTCAACGTGAAACTTCTTTGTAAGTTAATTATTGAGTAATTAAGCTACCCAAATACCATAATTTAATAAAAAATAATTTTGCCAGTCTTTCTATATTAATGATACTAACGCTAATTAAAAACCAGAACTGAAATTAGTTGTTGTTATGTATATAGAAATACCAACATAAATATGGTAACAATTACTAAATAATATAACAAATTCATTATTATCATAATTGCTAACTTATGTCTACATTTTCTAAAATAGCCAACTGGGTCTTAGCAAAAAAGGTCTTGGTTCTCTGCCCTTATAAAAATACGAAACCAAAAAAATGGTAAATGATATTGATATAGTATTAAAAACACAATAATTGCACCACAATATTATACTAATTTATTTTTCTTTTATACTATCTGTATTAAAGAAAAAAAAATTGTGCGTGTACTAGGTGTACACACGTAAGAAGTGAAACTTCTTTATGATCTTATTTTACGAAAAATGATCTACTATATGCAACTTTACAGAAATTCGTTAAATTAGATAAAGTTTAACAAAAGGCTTTTATTATCATAGACATGAATACAAATATTTCATTTTACCTTATTACTACGAAGATCATTATAGAATTTCATTAATTGTAATAGAATTATTACTATCATTGAAAAACGTGACGATTTGCTACAAAATTTCTCCCATACATCGATAAAGAAGTTTCATTCCAACGCCGATAAAGAAGTTTGACTTCAAAAAGCAACATGGCGCGTAACCGAAAAATGTGACGCGTAACGATAAAATGTTACACTAAATTTTTTTCCAACCTCGATAAAGAAGTTTCACTTGAAAAAGACAGATTATTACTTGCCTTAAAATGAAAACAAAAACAAGTTAGTTACGCGTAGAATGTAAGTTAAACGTAATTTATAAAACTAAAAAAACAACTTGCAAATGCCACCATTGTGTATAATCAATCCGAAGAATAACATTCGTATCGACATTTGAGAATTTTAAAAGCGATACATAATGTATTTATGCTAAGTTTATTTTCAGGACCAGTGCAAAAGTATATTTTTTTATCGGATTCAAACCCGACACATGTATACAATTAAACTTCGCTATACACCAGCTTATCAATTGTGTATAAATACGTTTGGGAATAAAAAAATGATGCGTCATACGTTTTAAATTACGTCTCATTTCTTGGTATTGAAACGATAAACAAACGTGTCCAAAGTCATGTGAAAATTATATATCAAAGGCAAAATTAAGACGATGTTTATTCGTTATTTTTTACGTTAAAATAAGACTAAATTTTAGTACTAGTTAATCTATAAAAAAAAAATTTTTCTTTTTCACAACCATCCATAATTTGTGGTTAAATTTATTAAATGTTCGTGATTAAAAAAAATATTTAATATATAAAAACTATATTAAAATATTATTATTTTTATATAATAGTCATCGCAGCCCATACACACCCATTTTTAGTGGGTGCGTTGCCGGCCTTACCTTTTTGTCACTTACGAATAAGCTGTTTAGAAAAACAAGTTCAAAAAGTCAACATTTTTTTACGAGTTAAATTATTTTTTCGTGATTTTTTCTTCTTTTTTTACGAATTCGACATATTTAATTAATGTTTTCAAAAGAAAACATAATTATAACTCGTGTCAGCACTTACACCTGGAACTAACAATAGGTGGGCTGATAAATTAAAAAAAAAAGGGTGCGTGTACTTATGTACGCGCGTAAGAAGTTATACTTCTTTGGCATTATTAAAAATAGTTTTTGATTGCATGCAAATAATTAATTACAATTAAATAATCAAAGACTGGAAAAGGAGTCATTATAGTCAATTAAGTTCAGTTTACATTTGAAAAATTAAATAAATAATTATTTATTATTATTCTCTTACATTAAGTGTAACATAAATTCTATTTAGTTAAAAGTATATATAATTATATATTTAGAACATCTCTACCAAACACTAAGAAGTATGTTGTAGCTTTGGCAGTATTGCACAATATAAAATTAATAAATTTCTTTGAAAAATTAATCAAAACTCCTTTATTTGTTTAAAAGGTAAATGACAAATGTCATTATGGTCATTCAAAATTCTTGGCATACGAACTTCACGCATATTCTATTTCTTTTTACTTGTAGATTGTCTTATTCCTATCTCGCTCGCGCACGCTATAATCACACTCCCAATTTTGTGTCACAGGTGCGCGCGCATCGTAAAATTTCACTCTCATAAATTTTTCATAACGCGCCTAAAGAAGTATAACTTCAAAAATTTTTTTTAAGTGCTCATCTAATCGCTGTTTTGCTAGTCATTTTAATTTTAATTTTTGAAAACATCTAGGTATGTTTAGTATAATTATCATATACTGTTTTAGAATAGTTAGCTTGTAACATACCTTAGATATAGCATTATGTATGTGGTGAACTTTAATAAATAAATAAATGTCTTCATGTCAGTTCTTATACTGTTAGAAATAGTCTTTTAGTAGGAGTAGTTTAATGCGTTGTTCTGTGTGTGTGTATTGTTTTGTATGTAAATGTAAATAATTGCCGCTTTGGAGTAATGTGTAATGGTAACTTATTTGGTTTCGAACTGATTGCAGATTTTTAACAACTACCTGTGCCCCATTTTCCTATTATTATATAATATAGCCTTCATATGGAAAACACAAAAAAAATATTTTCCAATTTGGACCAGTATTTCTTGATATTCAAGTTTTCGTGAGATAGTTTATGCTAATTCAAGGCATTTGGTCGGTGAGATGTTAACAAAATGTAATATTTCCAGGAGGTATCGGAAGAAGAGTTGGAAGTAGAAGAAGTAGTGGAGGGCACGGGGATGATCGGAGGCACTTGCAGACTACTCGCCGCTGCCCCGCACTACTCCGACGATTATGATCAGATCGAGGTAAATACTTAGTTTAGTAGCTTCGTCTCCTGAAATTTGTTTTATTTGCTCGATACACGACTGTGTTGGCCTAGTGGCGTCAGCGTGCGATTCTCATCCCTGAGGTCGTAGGTTCGATCCCCGGCTGTGTACCAATGGAGTTTTTCTATATGCGCATTTAACATTCACTCGAACGTTGAAGGAAAGCCTTACCCAAAAAGTAGACGGCATGTGTCAGGCACAAGAGTAGTGCCGATTAGATTGACAAATGATAATGAAATAGAAACAGGAATCTGAGGCCCAGACTTGAAAAGGTCGTAGTGCCACTTATTTATTTTTATTTAGAATATTAAAGTATACACGACAGTTCAGAGATAAATTACAAAACGAGACCATAAAATAAAAATGAAAATATATATTTTTCACTAAAATATATTAATCGTAGCTGCAATCTTACGCTTAAAAGAATTGAGATTGTCGGAAATAATAAAAGCACTAACTTCATTTATAAAATTATTTATTTAACGTATGACAATAATAAAACAATATTAATACCGTTTTTAGTGTATTAACTGTGTGTATGTAAACGCTTTCATGAAAATGACTAGAATGAGCAATAATTAACAATAATAAGATTAGATTTAATGTTGAAAATTTTAGTTTTTAATTTTTTTTCTTTGTTACAGATATTAGATCGATCATATGAAGAAATCGAGTTGGACGTGACGAAGCCCGTGAAATTGGATTTGTCTTTTGAGGAGGATTATTCGAGTAAGTAATTTTGACAATTTGTTGTAAAAATTACTTAAAAAATGTTCCCAAAGTTTATTGGTAAAAAAATACGTATATATGTACATTTTAAAATATACAAAAAGTCATATAATAATACATATTTATTTAAGTTATTCGCAACTGTAGCCTTCAGGGTCATTAACATCAACGCAGGTATTGACCTTCGACTCTATTTTAGTAAATCGTGAATCAAATTTACCTCAACGACTGTCTGCGCAATGCCCTGTACTTTCAAGGTCCAATCTATTTATCATTCATAGCAAAATATTAGAAATATATATATAATAAACTGTAAATGATTTTATTGGATTGGAACTTGATTAAGTTGCAAGCACTGTAAGAGTATTCTTGAATTCTATCTATTGAGGTATTCAATATGTCAGACTATTAATTATTAGCTGCCTGTCTCGGCTTCGCACGGGTGGACATTTCTTTTGTAAAAAAATTATTTTAGATATTGATTCTTTAATATTGTGGAACATGTTTTTGTTCTATCATCAATAGTTTTCGCAGCGCATGCGATGAAACATATTCTAAAGGCATTTTATTACACCTTGGGTACCATTATTGTAGTTTTAGTAGGGATCCTTATTTTCTTTTTTGCAATTAAAATAGCCTATATTAATCAGTGACTTTTGAGCCAATTCGTTACAAACATACTTACCTACAAATCTTTATATTATTAGTATAGATAATTGAATACAAAAAGCAAATCTGTAAGATTATTTGTTTAATTTTTTTCATTTCTTTTTTTTCAGTCCAACCAGCAAAAAAGGCAAAAAACAGTTTCATCTACAAGCCAATGGGTTCTCAATCCCACACGAACAGACGAAAAACTCCACTCGTCAACAGAGTGGCTTTAGTTTAATTGAATTGTGATCAAGAAGTCTCCATAGTTTTAAGTTTCGTATTTTTTCTTTAAGTCAAGTGATTTTGTTTAAGTGAAAGTGACATATCGCGCATAGGTAAGAATAAAGATGGATATTTTACTGTATTCACTAAGTAACTATTTCCGACTACCCTCATATGTGCCAGAAATGTTGATGCAAAAAAAATTAAAACTAATATTAAAATCTCATACTGATCCAAGATTAATTTAATGGCAAGTAAACAGGAATTTTTGATTTATGTATTATTATACATACAGACTATAAACATTGTTTCCTCAGAGCACATTTCTATGTCTATCTCATTGAAGATCAGATCAGATTCAGGGGATCAGCCGTTTAACTATCAATTCAAAAGTATTTTTTCACTCCAAATCAAACTCAGGACTTTGGAACACATTGTCGCTTAAGTCATATGAATAGGGTATATTTTTGCAGTTGAATATCAATCTTTATTAAGACTGATTTAGTTTTGAAGTTTTGGCGATTGTAGTTGATAAGTAGAACACTGATGAGTACAAAAATATGAATTTTTGAATTTTGCTACTCTGTTCGTTTTTTTACGATAGTAGTTTTAGCTTAGTATTGTCAAGTATCGTAGAAAGATCTACAGCGGGTATTTTACTAAAGATCCCACCGCTTGTACATATTATTCGTAATTGCTTTTATTTGTTGACACTGGCAGATTGGCTAGCCATTTCTGAATCCAATATTGCCAGTTGATGTCTAGTGTCCAAGGGCTTCTATTGAAATGTAATTAATTTCTTGAAAGTTTTGCTCTTGGACGAAGGCATATTGTATGCCTGTTTAAAACAAACAAATTGTATAAGTGTTTGAGGTGCAATATTTTGTGTGACATCCTTAAAAAATTCTTCTCTAGTTAGAAAATATTACCAACAAACTTCATGATCTCTCTGAAGTTAGCAACACTGTGAGCGTTTGTGATTTGCACATTTTTCAGCAACTTCACAGGGGTTTTAAAGTTTGTTAAATTCATTTTACATTTATTTTCACACAACTTTGAATGTATTCAAGGAATTTATGTTCATTGAATGCATTTGAATATTAGAAAACATTTATGTTTTACTTTGTATGCTTATTGTTGAAGAAATGTGTTCATTATTGGGTTCAGTTATGATTAGTGTAAGATTTTGTAATACATTTCCGTTCCTATATTGCTCTAATAGCACCTAGAGTTCTATAGGAACCAATAGCATTTACTAGCCTAAGGATTAAATTTAGTGTATGGATGTAAATGGTAAGAATAAAGTTGAAAGTGTAAAGCAATAAACTACATTTATATGGAGCCCGTATATGTACTGGGATTCTTATGTATTTGAATGAAGAAATAAGGATTATGACACCTTAGAATGTGTATTGACATACAAATGTATGGTGCCTGTGCGCTAGTCTTTTTGACAAGGTTTTTGAAATGTCTCAAATTATGTATACTGGCTTAAGAAAAACAAAGCTTAGTTCTAAAAAAATGTTTGTAACCATTGTTTCAAATGAGTTTAAACAATCTCTGTTTTCCCTAATTTGTGGATTGAAAGATAATTGTGAATTACTGTTAATGACCCAATACTTAATGGCAAACAGCTAAAGGTTGTATTATTTGGTAATGTAATTGTATTTTTACAAGCAAAATCGAAATAAAAGTGTACTATAGGTTATAACTAGAATATCTCACTGCCAGTATTTCAACAATTATGTATAAAAGCGCTAAAACTAAGGATAATAATAGTTTAGTTTTGTAGTTGCAAGTAGAATAAAACGATAAGTTGAACGATTTTTAATAATTCTTTTTTAATAAAATAAATAAATTTATAAAGCATTTTTACTACCAACCCCCTAATTTAGTTATTGTGTACAGTGGTTTCTTCTCACAAAGCTATTTTATACTGAGTAAATTAAGGAGAACTCAATAAACAACAGGGAACTCAAACTGGAATAGTTAGGTTAATTTTAAAAAGCTGTAACCTTTCCTAATATAAAGGATTAAAAGAAAGCGTATATATTAAAAAAAACGTAATAGTATTAATTAAGGTATCACGTATACATTATATAATATATTATAGTACATATTTTCAAATAATTGTCTGCGCCGTTTGTAAAACGACACAGATTAAAAATATTTAGAATTTAAAAAGATATAAATCTTATCAGTGTCGATGTCAATTATTTCATATGTGTGAACTGTGAAGCTGTTTGTTAAAATTTCTGCGATTTGTTTTGATCAAGTGTTTGAGTTTCCTTTTTTTATTTCTTATATTATTACAATATATGTGAATGAAACTGTTAATTCTAACTTTATCATGTCTACTCGAGAGATTCTAACACTTCAATTTGGACATTATTCTAATTATGTGGGTGCGCATTTTTGGAACATACAAGAACTAAGTTTTGATTATACCGGAACGGTAAAGAGCGAAGTAAATCATGATGTTCTGTATCGAGAGGGACAAACATCAAATGGTGAGACTACATTTACTCCAAGATTGTTGATAGCAGATCTTAAGGGATCACTGAAGACATTGCCTGCTCACGGAGGGTTGGAGAATGAGTTGAGTACTGACGAAGTACCATGGAATTCAGTGGAAAAAATAGAAGACCCACCTGCATACAAAAATGTATACTTAACAGATATTGAATCAGAAAATACTTCAAATATAGAAAACAAAAAGTACATACTTGAACAAGATGTTAAGACCTGGACAGATTATTTATATCCTAGATTTCATCCGCGTACTATTAACATAGTTAAAGAATACCAGCATGGTAGTGAACAGGTAAAAATCTAATTAACAAATTCTATCTAAAATCTACTTTAGTATAAAATGATGATATATAATTTTTTTTCAGGAAAGCTTTGATGTTGGTTGCACTGGACGTTTAATATGGAAGTCAGACTATGGAGAAACATTTTCAGATAACATTAGAAAATATGTAGAGGAATGTGACAGCATGCAAGGATTTCAAGTGAACTTTGACTGTTGTGATGGGTTTTCAGGTTTGGCACTGGGTTGTATTGAGCATTTAGTAGATGAATACACAAAATCTATAGTAGCCCACCCAATAATACCTTCATATTTCAAGGATAATGACCATACATCACAAGAAGATAGAGATAAGTCTACTTTAAAAGATTCAATGAGGTTGGTTAACATTGCCTTATCTATTGAAGAGCTATCGCATAATGCTACATTATTTGTACCTTTATGTACTGGGGAGAAAGGTTGGCGGAAACCTGGAGCAGGAAGAACATTTGAACATTTAAATTATAAGCCTGAATTATATTACCATTCCTCAGCCATACTTGCTTCAGCATTAGATACTCTGAGTCAAAAATATAGACATAGAAGTAACTTTTATTCCGTGTCAGATGTTTGTGCTGATTTGACAGGTTACGGAAGAAAAATGGCAGCTGCTTCACTTGGAATTCCATTCTCATTCCATGAATCTGAATATCTTATAGATCACTTAAATAGGACCACTCAGCCTATCTATACTTCATTAACACCCAGTTGTAAGATAGCCACAGACAAGATTTTCCAACTTATTACAGTAAGAGGAATTCCAGAACATTACTTGAAGGCACCGTTGAAGGAAGCTAAGGAACAAATGAATTTACCTGCATACCGGTGTAGAGATATTAAAGAAATGTTTGAACTTTATTTCCAAGCTAATAACTTTCTATCAGCGACTAATATTACCGTTTGTGAGAAACCTTTAGAAGTGAAAACTCCATTCCCAAACATATTTTCCGAACAACTTAACAAACACGGTTTATTACACAATGATATCAGGTCTGAAAACATGCAAAGTTGTGCAGTTATTAGTGGATATCACAATGGGAACTTTATGGCAGATATGATTGAAAAGCTTCATCGAGAAGTGAGCAGAATAAAGTTTTCAAAACTACATAAATTTGAAGAAGAAGGGCTAGAACTTATAGATTACCAAGAGAGTCTGAATAAACTTGCTGAATTCAAAGATAACTATGAGGATAACTTTGAACTATAATTTATATTTTTATGAGAGCTTCTCCTGGATGAAGTCCAGTATTTGGCTTCATAATGTCTACTGTTGGCAACATTAACATTCATCTTTACCTACACATTTATATAGATGTGCCTTTTAAAACATTCTTCAAGGAATAAAAATATATGTACTTAAATATTTGTAATAGTTTGTAATTTGAACAATTTCTATAATACTATAATCCTAGACCCTAATCAATGATAGAGATAACTTGAAATTACTAAAGGTATATGCGAATAAATGACTAATAAAATATTTTTTTCTTTCTTTACTTATTCAATTCCTTCAAGCTTCTATTCAATTCCTTAATAAGTAATCTATATATTCCTGCAGAACTAAATTGGTTAAACATCTGCCGTTTTGAGGTCGATTTCAGTTAATTAAATTTAATTTAATTGTCTGACGTATTCTGTATAACTATATATATTTTTAAATTGCTTTAATAATGGGGTAAATTATTCTGTTTTAAAGTTAGGAAATAGTTTGTCCAAAAATATTGATTTTGGTTGAAGAGAATTATATAGAGGACAAGGTTTTTATAATATTTTAAAAAATTATTCTATTATTTTTAATATATTTTTAATAAATAATTTTAAAATTTATTTATATAGATTTGTTTTATGAATGTTATTTATATCTATATTTATATTAAAATGATTTTAATTACTTAAATAGCTCAATTGTAGAGTATGATATTGAAGATCACGGCCAAACAAAAAGAAGTGGTCAGCAATAATCCACACTTCTTGTTACGGCGCTAGAACGTTGCGGGCGAGCATTGTCAGTAGTAGGGATTCCCAGGTTTTGGCTCACTCGCTGCCTCGGTCGAACTAACGGCCGGCGTGGGGCCCGGCTAACAAATCGTTTGGACTCTTTTTTTTATTATTTAATAGGAGGGCAAACGAGCCTGCGGGACGCCCAAAAAGGGCAGTCATCGCAGCCCATAGACACCCATTTTTAGTGGGTGCGTTGCCGGCCTTTGACGGAGGAGTATACTCGAATTTTGAACATTTGGAGGACACATCTCTCAGAGAAGACCCCCACCGGGAGTCGATTCACATTGCTTTGGATGTCATATTTCTTGGGAAATATTCAATGGAACTAATGAAAAACTGAAACTATCAGCAATTCACGGCTTTAGGCAAGCAATTTTACAATAATAATTAATTTTCTTTTATTAGTTTCAAAATTTAAATTAGGAACATAAAGAATCATGCCAGTCCAATATATCGTCAAATTAATGAAACCTCTTTCTTGTAATATTCATCGAAGTAGAAAAAAATGTATACTTAAAGTATACAGGATTCGGTTTGACAAATAAAAGAATGTTTATAAACTCATATATTTTATTTAAGATGATTCAAGTAAATCATATCCCAGTCACACACATCCATAATTACACATTTACAGCCTTATACTACTCTCGAGGATCACGTTGACCGCTCTAATGCTCTCTCTTTCATTCTCGTAATAAATGCTGCGCCTTTGTTCTTCCTGAAGTTTTCATATGGGTCATTCAGGTTTACTCCAATACCTGGAATAAAACTTTATGTTTAATCTAAACTAATATTATCTAAGAGTAGATGATCAGCCTCCTGTGCCTGACACACACCGTTGTGTTGGGTTCGAGGCAAGTCGGTTTCAAGCAATGTTAAATGTGAGACAGAAAGTCTATTGGTGCACAGCCGGGGTTCGAACCTACGACATCACGAGAGTCGCACGCTGAAGCCACTATCCTAACGCAAATTGTATTTACGTTAAAAAGTGACGGATCGAAATTATTCTTTATTATATTAATTGTTTAAATATTTTTATTCCCATTAACAAAATGACAATTTTATTTTCATTAGAACTTTATTATGCCAATTGCACATCGACATGGAACAGCAGTATTTTTTTTAATTCAGTCTTCTGAGCTCATGTATAATTTAATACGAATTTAATAGATTGTTTTGAATCTCTCATAAATATATATCATTCAACTGAACAGTGCCTTTATCTATTTTGTATATTAAATTAAAATGACTTTTACATGGAAATTTACTTTTGAAAGTAAAATGTCATCGAGACATTGGGAAAAATTGGGATTAAAAAAAACTATCAAAATAAAATTAGTAGCAGAGTTCATTTAAGAAATTTGTGTTATTAATTTATTTATTAACAAGTTCACTGTCCTCAGACCACATGTGGTCTGTTTGCAAATACAACTTCTAGTCTTTTTGGAGTTGTGGACGTAAGGGGAAAGTTGCGTATGAGGCGTGACTTTACAGGACATCACTGAGAAACTAAAAAGTGCAGCGACATGTGTCAAAATTCGTCTGTTTATTTCTCGATGAGAAGCAATAAATAATAAATTATACCTTTATACTGGTCCTGCCTATCTCTGACGGTGCCGCCGCTGATGGGTTCCGCTATGCCCTGCCCCGCTGCTCCCAATCCGCCCTGACCTGCCCAACCCATCTTCTGGAGCAGCTGGTGGCCTTTGTTACTCGCGTCTATACCTCCAGACGTCGACGGAAATGTTGAACCACTGCTAATAAAGTTGAACGAATAAATTAGTAAATAACGATATTATTATTATTAGTAATACATATAATAAATCACGAATTTTGATCACTCTTATTTACTTGCGTCATGCGAAAAAAGTTCTCCACCGAAAAAGGGACAAATTTGACTTATGACTATGATGACTATTATGAGGGCAATAAAAAGTATGTTACGTATTTTTATGTTTTACCTACAAAAAGGTAAATCTAATTACTCTATATATCTTAATTATCTATTTACTCAAGTGACTTAATACAAAAATAACAAATATTTCAAAATCACGAACAATATATCGAATTAACTTTAATTACTTTATTTTATTCTTTAGCATCACTGCTTACTAATTCCAGGTTTAGAAAACCTTTAAAAAAAATAAAATGTTATCTTTACTTGTGCGTTCTTTACTGTTTGTGATGAAAAGGAACGTAATAACCACTTTTAATGTGGAACACCGCACTTAATAAAATGGGTACATTAACTAATAATAAAATTATGTTTAGACTCGTATTGAAATTGAAAAATGTGCCCGGCCAAAAAGGTTTGCCATCACTGACATGTCAAAAAATTATACCTGCCAGAATTCTGCGGAATTAAAAATCAAGGAGAAACTTTTGGTAATTTTAAATATACAATATATTATTCAAATTTGACAACAATATCCACTTAAGGTCTAAAAATCCATTTCATATCTTCATAGATATATTGTTTAGAATTTTATGGATAGTTTAGTTTAAAATATGTAGTTAGAAATTTTGTACATAACGCATTGCTTGCCCCGGAACAAAGTTTTAATGTTTTACTATAAAAGACACGAGCATGTCTTCATTCTACGGATTTTTTTTTGTGCACAATGTTAACAATACTAGTTTACCTTATTTTACTTCCTCTGAAATAGATCGACAACCATAACGATAGTTTTAGTTTTGATTTTAATTCTACCAAATAATCATAAAAGTTAATGCAACAGTTTAAAAACGAATAAAGAGTGGTAATGGATTATTACGTTCTAGACATTCGTCAAAATTACCGTCGTAATGTGCGGTTACTGTGTCCTCCGTAATTATCTTTAGTCTCGTTAGAAAAATTACTGTAGTGTACAATTATTTATTTTATTAACTATTTACACTAAATAAATAAGAATAATATTTAAATCGTAAAATAAAAAAAAAAACAATCTCATTTGATAAATATAGATGCACTGTAATGTACTACATGTATATGTAATGTACTTAGTATTCTAGTAATAATAGCATTACCATTTTTTATATTACCTAAAAAAAAATTTGCTTTTACGAATTTGGTCCCCGGGGCTAGTGGCATAACTATCAAGGAATGAATTACAACACAATAATAATATTATTGTAGCTTCTACTAGCACCGTAACCAATCTATTATAACAAAGTTGCACTCACAGGAAACTAGGTGGCGTGGGCGATCTCTCCCTGTCCACTCGCCTCGTCTTGTCCCTTTCCCGCGGAGAGTCGCGGTGTCGTTCCCTCTCCCTCTCTCGCGACCGACTGCGCGATCTTGAGCGCGACCGAGATCGGGATTTTCGACGATCTAAAAAACATGTTTATTTATCAATACCATTTAAAAAATAAAATAAATCAGCGGCGCCATAACTTTTTAGGTCTGGGCCTCAGATTTCTGCAACTGCTTCATGATCATTTGTTAATCTAATAGACAAGTAGGTGATCAGCCTCCTGAGCCTGACACACGCCGTTGACTTTTTGGGTCTAACACAAGCCGATTTCCTCACGATGTTTACGTTTAAACGTGCGGCCTATGAGATTTGATCTGTAGAATGCTGCGGATCAAAAGGACAAGACTATGATTTTCTTAAGCATATGCTCAGAAGTAGAACATGTCCGTATCATCAAGCAAAGGAGTCTTACATATTAGCCGCATCCTCCCTTACCAGTAGTATCGACTTTTGCACACCACTATTACTATTATTATTAAACCTTTATTAGATTTCACACCATTATTATTTTTAAACATTTATTAATTTTCACAGCATTATTATTAAACATTTATTTATTTGCACACCATAATGATGGATAAACGCAAACTTGCCCGCAAATGTCTTGGCTATGAACTATACTTTTCTTGAAATGAAAAAGGACACATAATGATTGGACTTCCAACAAAAAAGGCTTGTGTTCGATTCCCCGATTCTTACTCTATTTAATTAAAATAATAAAAGTTCTCACTGTCACGTTCTCTTCTCCAGGTGGTCCTTCTCCTCGGTGAAGGTGATTTGGACTTGCTTTTGGGAGGCGTTTGGACTGGCTTTGGCTCTGGCGATTTACTCAGGGATCTGAAAAAAATAATGTTAATAAAATAAGAATAATACAGACTAATAAAATCTTAGTAAGAATATATTATTTTAATTCACTAACAACTCATTTTAAATCATAAATTAAAAATTTAAATAAGATGACTGTATTACAAACTTGACTGGGTAACAAAAATCTTTATGTATTTATTAAAGTTTACATAAAATATATGCCAATTATGGTGAACATAATTTTCATACATTTAATTAAACACACTTCCATTTTTAGATTTTCTAATAATTTTATAGAGATAGATCAGATCAGCCCACTGCCGAATATATCAAGCTCTGGATAAGTAGTATTTTATGTGCTTTATTCGCGAAGTTATTTGGAGATGAATTAATAAGCACCCTTATTTGGCTTCAGTTACTGAAGTCAGACATATGCACACACATTTCTCTATGACATTATCAAATTATGGACTCTAATTATTATTAAAGTGAAACTTCTTTATCGGTGTTGGAAGAAAAAATTACGTCACGTGACGTCGTCACATTTTTCTGTTACGCTCCATTTCTTGTCCTGCGATTTCGGATCCAGTTTATTGATTAGTTGCAAGATTTGTTGTTTGTGAAGTTTGCCTACCTCTGAAAACTAACTTCAGGCTTACCGCAACGTACTATTATTTATATCGGATAATTTCTTTCACGTTTTATTTAATTAATATTGCAGTATTATGTTTAGTTATAAACAGAAATTATGCTTTTAACTCATTATTATTTATGTCAAAAACCGTGTAGTGCGTTCATAAAATGTATAAAAATTATATTAAAAACAAAATATATAATAACGATACCAATGATAGTAATCATTATATTACAACTAATAAAATTCTGTAATAATCTTAGTAGTACTAAGGTAGAATGAAATAATTGTATTATTTGTATTCAATTTATTCTATTCTATCTATGTCTATGATAATAAAAGCCTTTTTTTAAACTTTATCTAAGTTAACTTTATTTAACCAATTTCTTTAAATTTGCATATAGCAGATTTTTCGAAAAATAAGGTCATAAAGAAGTTTCACTTCTTACGTGTGTACACTAGTACACGCACACATTTTTGAAGTTATACTTCTTTAGGCGCGTTATGAAAAATTTATGAGAGTGAAATTTTACGATGCGCGCGCACCGTGACACAAAATTATCAGTATGGGCGCCGAGCGTGCGCGAGCGAGATGGGAATAAGACAATCTACAAGTAAAAAGAAATAGAATATGCGTGAAGTTCGTATGCCAAGAATTTTGAATGACCATAATGACATTTGTAGTACGAAAGGAGTATTAATTATTTTTTTGTAGTTAAAGGAGTTTTAATTATTTTTTCAAAGAAATTTAGCAATGCTTTTTCACAAAGACCTATTGTTACTTAGTTAAAAGGTTATGAAACATACCTAGTTATTAAATTGAATTAATAAAATAATAAATAATGATTATTATTAATATTAAGTATAATAATTGAATAATACACTAAATATTAAATATTGTTAAATTATTAATGCTAAATAGGTATTTATTATTAATTATTTAATATTTAAAAAAAATAAAGAAAGCCAAAGAAGTGTACATAAGTACACGCACCATTTTTTTTTTATTATTAATCAATAGAAACAAGAAATTGGTCAAAGCTAGGTTTCACCTGTATCTCCTTCCAGGTGGCGAGGGCTGCTTCTGAAGGTCATTGGGTATGGGAGTGGGTGAGCGGGATTTCTGTCTTCTCCCACTCGAGATTGCCTCTTCTTTGTTCTTCCGCGCCGCGTTTTTCGCTTTGTAGTATTCGTATAGACCTAATTTCTCCCATCCCTCACTGCAAAAACAATTCATCATAACTGGTATTGACTTGTGCCATTATAACTTTTAAGTTTAACTATTTTATTGTATCATTATTTTTAAATGTACTAACACAATAAAATGCTTATAATATGCAATATTTTAAGATTATCCTACAGGAAAGCCTTAAAAATAGACTGCATCTATTACTTTAATTATATACTGATAAAAAAATTACATATCTAATGGGTTGTTTTTGTTATTTTCGTTTCTTTGAGATCTGCAGTATGGAGCCCTTTTGGGTAAAGACTTTCTCCAATTCTCCGGCTCTCTGACTTTGGAGAAGACATATTATACTTTTAACGATTATTTAAGTGAATTAAAAGAAAAAGTTTATGCGAATATGCGAAGAAAATCAAATTCTACCATCTCTGTATTACTGTACACACAACATATTCTTGCCAATAAATTATTATTTATTATCGCACATTTACTTTAGTTTCATTATCATAATTTATTTAATTAGATTATCTATGAGGCAAATGCTTGACAGTAAACTTTTTACTTTGATTTCACAAATCTTTAAAATAAAATAAACATTGTAGATTTATTAATAAATGTTTTTTTTATTAAAGATGCAGCTGAGCTTTAAATATTTCGATAAATAAGCTTGAAAATAACAAAATACTAACTTATCTCTAGGCCTTTCGTGGTTAGGCGAAGCGTAGAAGGCATCGACTGCAGCCAAGAGCCGGTCATTGGGCGGGGCTGGGGGCGGAAGGCGGATTTTGTTTGGCTCTAAGGGCTTGTACTTATCTTCATCCAGCTGGAATATTACAGCATTTGATAATTCTTTATTCATATATATTAGTTGATCGCGAAACATAACAGAAATCTGAAGTCCAGATCTCGAAAAAGCCAGAAGTGATGAATATATGGCACGTAAGTTTACTATTTAAATAACACGTCAAATTAATATTTTTAAAACTGAAATAAAATTAGCTAAATATGGTTTTAAATAAATCATGTACTAAAGTGCCATGGTTATCAGTTTTTACACGAAAAAACATCTTGCCATCATCAAACATTGATAAATCGTTGCGTCACTAAGAAACCTTGATTTTTATAATCACTTACGCTGTCCTACTGTGCAGTCTAAATGCTTAACCCAAATATACAGATATATGGTTGCAACAACAGTGTAAGCAAATTAGTCTTGTCTTATTTATGTAAAAAAATAAAGCCACTGAAAGCAAGATTATATTGAATCTTATTAAATGTAATTTGTAAGAAGGTTAGCAAGACTTGACACCTTTAGACTACGGTAGTGTTATATATTTTGTTGTCTTACTAATAGACACAAACACAATTTTATTCATACCTAAGGTGGAGATAGCTTTCTAAGTAAATAAATTTTTCATTGCTGCTTTGCTGCTACTGATCTAAATACTATATCATTATGTACATATGTTATAACGTAGTTATATATTGGTGAGAAAATTAGTCAAGGTGTACCATTCATTACAAACAAAAACTGGATTTTATGTAAAAAAAATTTTTTTTATAAACTGTCTGCACAAAGAAACATTACGCCTCTCTTCTCTTCTTCATCTAACTTAAGACTAATAAGTAATTTAAATCTAACCTTATTGACTAAAATGGATAATTAACATACAATGTCCAATAACACAATTACACTATTGAGAAAACACTATTCTTGAGTAAATTTATTTTATTTTATTATTATAAATAAGAAACGCATTGAAACTATTCACATAGTGATAAGCAAAGCAGTTAATATATATATATATATATATATATATATATATAGTAAACTTACCATAATAAGGGGTACCATCAAACCAGCCGGTAACTCAAAGTACGGTACAGACGGCATGAGATCTTCATTATTTATTTCTACGAAAGGTGGGAATCCCGGGGGAGGTTTGCTCAGATCTGGAAGCCCATTTTGGAAAGCTAAAGGAGGCTCTGGCTCAAAACCAGGTGGCGGTTGGGAGAAGTTCACATTTGGGAGATTGGAGAGATCGGGCTCCGACTCCTTTGGCTGATTCATCTGATCGAACATCTGACTGTCATAACTGTTCTCGTTTCCACTCATACTGTTGTTTGACGCATAATTGTCCCCGCTTTCACTACCGTAGCGTTGGTGGTTTGGAGGAAAGTTCTGTTCGTAACCCATCGGTGGGTACCCTTCATTAAAGTTATTCTGAAATGGATTTTGCATGTTTTGCTGACTGTCCTTTTTGGATTCTTGACTGTTTAGCTCCAGAGCCTGTTTCTGCATTTCCATCTGTTGTATTTGTTGCAGAGTATGCGCAACAAATGCTTGATGTTGGGTTTGGTAGCTGAAATATATAATATTATGTTAGTGGAATCATAGGAATTTAATTTAAAAAAAAAAACAAAACTCACCTTTCAAAGGTAGATTTGGTCTGTTGTGCTAAATGTGCGATGGCATTAGAATGTTGAGCAATTAGGTTATTCTGGTATTCCTGATAGGAGCTGGTGGGCGTCTTCATTTTCTCAATGACGGCCAAATCGAAGTAGTTGGACTTGGATTCCCACAAGCGCAGTAGCTTGTTAAGCTTAGCCTCCTGCTCCTCGGTAACGGCTGAAATGTGACAACGATTACTCGGGTTGCCGTTAGACAGAGGCCGACTCAAGCAAGTTTACCTGACTGACAAAACCACAGGATGATGTCTAGATGTTAAATAGATGAGAATGCACAAAAAGACAAGAGACCTAGGACTTGAGGACATTAGTGTAAATATGTTACCTATACTGGCATTGCAAAACATTGGAACCACCACATTTTCCAAATTTTTCTTGAGATCTTCTGCGTTTTTGCGTGCACTGTAATTAGGAATAAAGTATCATAGACACCAAACTGACAACTTGAAAGGGGGACATGAATATTACTGACAAAACTTTCAAATGAAATTACCCAAAAATATATATCACTGAACTTGAATTTAATAAAAATATACATAGTAAGATTTTAGTAAAAAAAAATGCACAAAGAAATCTAAATTGTGACTGTTAGGACCAAAGAATACAAAAAAAAAATGATTAAAATAGCAATTTAAAATGATACCCAACTTCCCAGCCTTTATATGACCCATACAATTACTTCAATTTATCAAATGAAATCACACATTTATTAATGAATAAAACTAATATAAAATACTAACCAATGATGCAGGACATCATTAACAAGATATATGATGTGTAGTTTTTGTGTGAAAGCTGCCCCAGGCTGTGTCACTTTCCGCAGCAAATGTTGTGAGATAACTTTGCCAGCATCAGCTGATGTTGCATGCTGCAGTATCCATCCCTTCCCTATAACAATTTTGAATAAAATCAAATATTGCAAAAAAGTCATATCAGATATAAACTCACATTTTATCTTTCAATATCTTTTGTGCACCTTAATAATAAAATAACTAAGTTTTAAAGTACCTGCAGATATGCTATCTTTAGTGCAAGATTCAATAATAGGTTGCAAGATGTTGTCTAATTCTGTGAGACTGATATTATTATCCTCGGCCATGATCTGTATTGTTTCCACTTGAGCTTTGCTAACCAATTCATTGATTTTGGTCTGTTGTTGTTGAATGAGCACCTATAATATTCACATATATTTAAAAAAATGTTTTATAGAAAGTACATTCTGGCGCATAAATAATAAAAAATAAACAAAATATCTATAAGTATTAATGTGCCATAATGCATAGTTAAAATAAATGCATTATAGTTTCTTTCACTCTTGCACTTATGGATATAAAATTTGTACTCATGCATAAATTATGATATTAGTAAGCCTAAACATCTGACCTGTTGTCCAAAATCCTATTACTGAAAAATGTATTTTTACACTATTTATTATACACAGAAAAAATACAGATGCATGAAAAGTAATATAAGTATTACATTATCTAGACAATTTCAAATATAGGGCTTTGCTAGAGCCAATTTTAATAAATAATATTTAATAAAAGGCAGCAGATCATATACATTATAAATAGACTTATGTAAAAGTTAAGTATATGCAGTCAACTTACAGAAAGTAAGTGAATTAAGAGTTGGAAATTTTAAATCAAAGTTACTCACGTTGTGCTGGGCGTTAAGATTGTTCTCAGACTGAGTAATTTGGTCCTTTAGAATGTTGATCTGAACATTCACGTTGTCAATCTCATGGTTGTGCTGCGACGGAGCAGGAGCGGAGTTCGCGGCGAGCCATTGCTGAAGAGCGGGCGCCGCCGACATCGTAGCTGCCAGCCCAAGCTGGGCGGAGGTCGCTCCAGCCTGTTGGGGCATTACATATTGCCTTGTCTGTGCCATATAAGCCCCGGACGGAGCGCTAGCCGCCTGGCCACCGGCAGATTGCTTTAGAACTATAAACAGCGGAGGGTCACTTGAAACGGTTAGGTACAACAACGCAAGTAGCGATCGGGCGGACCGCGACTTTCTCTAAGTTTTAACCACCATCGTCAATATGCTTACTTGCTTGTTCAGTTGTCACTTTGTATTGGTAGTAGTTGAAATATTCTCCACCGTACAGAAAACTAAATTTTGGATTGTTCTTTTGTTTCGTTTTGGTCATCTTCTCGAACTCGGGGCCATTTCTTGCGACAAACTGCGCGAGTTTGTCGATTATGTTGCGAAGATCTTGATCTGAAAATAACTCTTATTAGCGAACATAACTTATCTTCAGCCTCAAATACTTTTTCCAATAAGCATAATTCAAATAATTTACCTTGTGGCGGCTGAGGAAGCTCCATTTTATGTTGTTTTTAACAGTAATTTTAGGTTACAAATAATACTCGTCAATAGTACATTCTAATAATCATTTTTTATATTAAGAAACTTGCCACGGATTTTATTTAACACTGGTTGAAAGTTTATTTTAACACAAAATAGAGTTTATTTTATAAGTACCGAGTAACTAAATAGATTTTTGTTACTATAAAGCGGCAGCCATTTCTGGCTATTAATTATTAAGATAGCACGGGCCACAGACTAATAGGAAGATTAGAATAGTAGGGCTGTGCTACAACACTAGTTAGTATAATGCGAAATGTTTCATGGATTAAAATTGTTTGAAAAAAAATCGGAGAAGTGTATACTCTGTCAAACATTTCGATGACAGTTCAAGAGATATCAGCTGACAGTGGAATAAAGGCTATCGTTGACGATTGACGTATCTCAGTACGACATTTAGCAAGTGTCGCCGTGTGTTTGATTTCTGTTTCAATATTTTTCTTTGATGTGTGGTGTGCTATTGACTACTGTTACTTATTTATGTATTTAATGTAATTAATATTGTTCGTTTATCCGGACAACAATTATATAAAAGTCCTTATTTGAGTCTTAGTCCTTAAGTCCTAATTATTTATATTATTAATCACTAAGCAAACGCCGGTAAGTACACATAAATTACGCTACATTTATAGTAACAAAAGCAATTTAACAATCACTCTTTAAATGTAATTACCTTTTTAGCAATGGGTCGTCGCAAATCGAAAAGAAAGCCGCCAGCCAAACGAAAGGCAATAGAACCTTTGGATCAACAGTTTAACTGCCCTTTTTGTAATCACGAAAAGTCTTGTGAAGTCAAAATGTACGTATATTTATTTTTATTTATTGTGTGATATTACTAAATTGTGTGGATAAACAAAATAATTTGTTTTTATCAGGGATCGAGCAAGGAATACAGCGCGTATAGTATGCCGGGTTTGTTTAGAAGATTTTCAGACTACCACAAATGTTTTATCTGAGCCAATAGATGTTTACAATGACTGGGTAGACGCTTGTGAAAGTGCAAATTAGTCCAATTTAATTTCAACTACATTTTATTATTGTGTTATGGAATCTATTCATTCTAACCAGATACAATTTTTACCTGATATCAGGTTATTACTATGTACTTGTAAGTGCTCATTTCTTGAGTTTATGTTCTATTTTAGTTGAGATTTATATGTAAAAATCTTATTTCAGTTTATTGATTACGAGCTTTTAAATAATTTGCTACTGTGGTTGTTAATAGCCTTTATGTTAATCCTCTTTAACATAGATAAGCTTAATAGAAACCAATTTTGATTTTTCCAATAAGATTCCATTGTGTATACAAAGTATTTATTAATGGAAAAACCCAAATGTGTAATAACTAACTTAAATTTCTCCTGTAGTTCAAAATGTATTCTCTACATTACAAACATTAAAAAAAGGCAAAATTGTTTTAATATATTTTATTTAACAGGAAAGAGCAAAGATAAATGTGCTATGGTACATCTTCAATTCCATATTTGCTATAAATGATTTAAAATCTTCACATTCAGAGAAAAATAGTTGCTTTATCCACATACTACAGAACATCAAATTACTCTGCTTGAAAAGCTGATTTGACTATGAATATATCTAATATTTTATTGTATTCCATTCGCTGATCATTTGTTGGAATGTAAACTTTATATACTATGATTAATAAACACTTGAATAATTTAGTAATTATTATTGACTCTTTTAAACTCCGCATGTCATAACACCCTACTTTTAGCAAGATTCATTAAGTACTAAAATGTAACGCTTATAATATTTGAAATTGTACTTTGCGAAAATTGCACGGAACTTGCTTTTGCTACACAGCATAAGTCCAACAGCTACTAAGTGATAAGATTCATAATACTATAAATACTTTGACACCTTTACTTAAGCTATAAATAATGCAAATCCATTTATTCACTGGCCAACAATAAAGCTTATAATTATTAAGCCATGATGATGAAATGATAATTGTATATTGATATATACAAATGAGACTCCTTTTTCTCAATATCATTCAGTGAATAAATGGTTCGTTTATGCAACACAATATACAGCATCAAGCTGCGTCAACATGTTAATAAATTAATATTTAAAACAATATAATACACTATAGACAATTGTCGAGCTACTGCCTATGAACAACCCCAGGATTTCCATGACCGTGTCACACTATATAAATCAACGCTAGAAGATGAAAATATATTTACAAAATATAAAATTGTCTAAAAATAAAATGTCTAAAGCAATACAAATATGACACAGTACACAGAGTTGCATACCACCGAGCCCGAGTGCATAAGCTGCGTAGAGACATTTAGCTCGGGAGAATAACATATTACACATCAAAATAACTTTAATAAATAAAATCAAATCAAAATTTTCCCATATCTATAAAGGAGTCATATTGCAACTCACAACTATCGTACAAGGTATCTTCGTCAGTGGGATCGTTTTGGGAAGGGGTCGGACATTTATTTCCGGTTCCGGTCGTGTCCTCGCATATGGCCGTATCGTCCGAACTTTCGCTGTTACTATCGATGTATTCGAACAACCTTCGATCATCAGGACTTTTGTCCTCGATAGCGTCAAACGATTGTGAAAGCAGAGCGTCCTGGTACGACACGGCGACGTCTCTCGAGGAGCAAGCTTCTTCCGTAAACCTGCCGGAGTCGCCCAGGTCCGATATGTCTTCGGGAGCGAGCGAGTCCACGGGTGGATCGACTTTTACCTCGACTTGATCCACGTTGTCTTTGGTGATGGTGATCGAGTCGTCATCTGTGAGATCGGCGTTTGTGATGTCAAGATCGTCCTTGGCCTGGAGGGGTTCGATATCGTCGACGCATTTCGTGGAGTCGTCGCTGTCGGAGAGGAGTTCGATGCTCCGATCGAGCAGGCCCGTGTCGGTGCAAGTCGAGAGGTCGTCTTCGAACACGATCTCGACGCTCCTGATCCTCATGAGGGGCATCTTGTTCGGGGAGACCTCGTGGCCTTTGGAGGTTCGGATGATTCTGCCGGAGTCCAGGGGTTCGGTGGCCTCGCTGACGTCGTCGTAGTCTATTTCGAAGCTCCTCAGGTCGGAGGCGCAAGGCGAACTCTCGGTTGAGCGGGTGGCTTTTAATGAAGAAATAAGTGCATTGGGTGATGGAGCGCGCGTGGTATGCGAACGTGGTCCCTAAGGTTGGAGCGACTCTTATTGAATAGTGGTGCCGAGGTCTAGGCCTCCCTCTTCTTGGATCTTCGTGAGGAACTTGAACACCCGGGACTCCTCGTCGGTCTGCTTCACCATGTCCACCAGGGCGAGCAGCTTCTTGATGCCGATGAATATCCTGGAACAACATTATTACTGTAACTGCAAATGGACAGATTCTTAATTATTTCGATTAGCTGAAGTTTATGATGAGAAACAAGAGACAGAAGAGAAGCAACTCCAACCTTATAATTGATTTAGGCTAAGAAATGAAAAACCGTTAACCACGGTCTAGATAGTCTTACTTGGCTCCCCGCAACTCTTTCTGAATCTTCGCGAGGTCCTTCTTCGAGAAGGCATCGCTTTCATCTAGAACGGCCATAACATGCTCCGGCTGAGAGAGATTCGGGACGTGCAGGACGCCCGTGAACGCTGACAACACTTCCATGTCTTCTAGCACTTGGCTGAAACAAATAAATGTGATAAAGGTCTGAATGCCTTTCTATTTTGGACCCTCAAGACATTATTTCTCGACCTCGACCAACTACCAAAACCCTCTCCCTTCAAACGGTGTTCTATTGAAGCCGAAAAATACCTTGATCTACCTCTCGATAATAACCTACGCCATATTATCACATCAAGTCATTTAATAAATGTATTAAAGAAACGCTGTGTAAAAAGGCTTACTATATTTATGATTACTATATTAGAGGCTACTTCTAATTAATTTGCGATGTTTATTTTAAAATAAGTGTTGTTTGATGATTTGCTATTTTAAAAGAGTACCGAGAGTTTTTTACTACGGCCTTTTCTCTCGGCCTACACCCTCTGTCTTCTTTGTCGATGAGTAGGGATGTCGTGACGTGAATAAGTGATACCTGTATCTTATATTCCATAATAAACATATATATATTTTTTTTCAAAATTATCTCTGGCTGGTGCAATTCATTGCTATATCTTGAGATACGGGTAATAGCAGTGGAGCCCATTTTTCGTGGGTGAGTCGCCGGGCTTTTCAGCGCCCTATGCTTTTATTAAAACAATTGTCTTGTTCTAGAAGAAGTGCATAATTTTAATTGTGGTTACTGGTTATTACTAATAGTATTTAATTAATTATCACTTATTCTTTAATATTATTAAAAGCATACCGTCTGCTACTCGTGCACAGGATGAGCAGTTTCCTTCCTTTAGGGGGCTGCTTCTTGAGCAGCACCAGCAAGGCCTGCAGCGTGAGGTTGGAGTACCGCGGGCCAATGGGGCCGTAGTCCAGCAGTCGCTCGATGTTGTCGACCAGGATGCACGAGAGGGTCGAACGGTACGCGTCGTCGAAGTACTGAAACAAATTATTTTCTGGATATATTGTGGTTGCCTGGAAGAGACCGCTCGAAAGCGATAAGGCCGCCAAAAAAATAATTATTCAATTATTTTAATTGTACTGTATTGTATTACTGCAACGAAGTGTTAATATATAAATAAATATATCATATAGTATATACTATATGTCTCTTTACCTAAACAATAACATTTAGCTGAATATGTCAAAGATTAATTTAATATGAGCAAATATAAGTTTTTCGACTTCATGAAAATTTGTGCGTGTGTTTGTAATTAAACTCCTAAACGGCTAGACCGATTTTGATGAAATTTCTTGTGTGTCGAGTACGGTTTAGTTTTAGATGTATTTTTAATTATTTAAGACAAGTGTAGTTAGTAGTAAAATCTACCGTGTACCTAAATGTTATATACATGTATTTGACTCTGCTTTTAACCGACTTCAAAAAGAGCTCATATATTTGACCTTAATCTAAATTATAGTAATGTATGTATATTTGAACTCTTTTCTTAAAGGACCCTAACCCGAATTGGGTCGGAAATACTTCAATGGGCAGCTGGTCCCACATAGTGGTGGTGTCCGGCAAAAACCGCTTAAAAAACGCTCGGTTGTGGAACGGCGGAGGTGATACGGGTGGAATTTCGTATTCTGCCTCGACGTCCGATGATGAAACTCAGCTGCAGGTATTAATCCGAACAACTCCCTGAACACTCTCCTTGGTAAAGCCGGTAGAAGATGCAGAATCTAACAAACGGTCACATCAAAATGCTTAAAATTCAACTTAAACATCAGTCTAAGTATCACCAAAATCCCTTCAATAGTTTTTTAAGATATTTGAAGTCTTCTTTTTTAATATTACCTTTCGTATTTGCAAACATTTAGCGGTCTCAGTGAATCCGACCATGTCTTCAGGAGAACAGACTTTTACGAAGGGAAAGTCGGAAAGCTTCGCGAGCTGAGCCGCCAAGGCCGTCTTCCCACTGTTGGGCGGACCTTCCAACAGCACAGATACGAGCCCTGCGAGTATTGAGAGAATTACATCGAGTTTCTTTTAAAGCCAAAAATTAATCATAAGTGTGTATAGGTAACACAATACACACTTATGATCGTCAAAAAAGAAATTTACATTAAATGCTTTTAATTTTACATTTACTGCCAGTTCTCAAAACAAGGGCGTAGAACGGAAGAGAAGAACTAGCAATAAACTCTCCGCCACTCTTTTTAATCGCATTTTTTTTGTTTTACACAACGTTTGTAAGGAGCTGCAACCATTACACCATGTTCCACATGACATCTTAAGTAATAAATAATAATAAAATAAATTAAAAACAAAGATTTGTCCTCTATCAGCAGGAGGCATGGTGAAATAGGAACACGCACTTACATTCTCGTGGGAACAACACGTAACACGCACTTTTCTTCCGTCATGTCAAATTTCACAATACAATTAAAATCAATTTTTTATGAAATCTGCAATTAGTAAACCTATTTAGGTCTGGGCCTCAGATTTCTGAATCTGTTTCACGATCATTTGTCAATCTAATAGGCAAGTTGGTGATTAGCCTCCTGTGCCTGACACACACCGTCGTGTTGGGTCCAAAGCAAGCCAGTTCCCTGGCGATGTTTTCCTCCAACGTTCGAGCGAATGTTAAATGCGCACATAGAAAGTCCATTGGTGCCCAGCCGGGGATCGAACCTCCGACTTCAGGGATGAGAGTCGAATGCTGAAGTTACTAGGCCAACTTTGCACAAAAATAGGCCACATCAAAATGACAAACACGTCCAACTTATAGGCCTCCATTCAGCTTGGAGGGTAAAAAAATTGTCCTTGCTATTAATAAATTCGTAATTATTATTAATGTGGATTTGTTTAATACCGCTCGCTTCAGTAGCCCGGGCCTGTTGTATGTACAACTGTCCGTCTTCGAGCACCGACGAAACGGGAGAACCCCAATTGATGACGCCACGAGCCAAGAAATGTTCCAATGCCTCAGCTGCGGTCCCGAAAGCCTGAAAAATAACTAAATTAATACTAGCTCTGCCTACGGTTTTACTCGCGCAAATCGTAGCGTTTAGCCTTCCTTAATAAAAAAAAGTGTGTGTACTTATGTACATGCGTTAGAAGTTATACTTCTTTGGCGTAATAATTTTTTCCATTTTAATGATCATTTCCAATAGAAATGATATAATATGTACTAATCATGATATTTTACAACAAACACTATGTTTTTTATCACATTGGAACGGGTTTTCTCGTATAGAAATCACTATTTTGGTTTAAACAAACACTACGCCATGATAGACAATGCAACTTGTCGATAAAACAGAGCAAGCGCCAACTCGCGGCCCAGACTGTTTTACCGACGTTTGAACAGATATTCAGGGTGTCGGTTTTTTGTGACGGTGTGCGCGCGCATCGTTAAAATTTACTCTCATCATTTATTATTATGAAACTTTTTATTGACACTGGCGCGCAACTATACGAGCGTAAACAGCGCGTGCAACAGTGCGCTCTTCGACATATTAGAGTGTGTGATTTTGTGATTGAGTGTGTACGGGAAAAAAACATTTTAACACACAAACACTTACCGGTTTGATATCGTTCTCAAGCGCGTGCAAGAAGTCCGTCCTCTCCACCATCAGCTTCTCCATGGCTTCGGGGTCTACCTCGACCTTACTCGAGGCCTTGATCAGCCGGTTCATGGCCGTAGACTGGGCAGCACGCACTAAACCCTCCAGTTCCGCACCAGAGAAGTTCTTGGTTATCGCCGCTAATTCCTGCAAATATTTATTCATTTTCAGACGGAATTTCCCCCAGTGTATCATAACTAAGAGAGAACTTCGAACTCTACACCAGGAAAATAAACCGTTGAGAATTGAATAATAAAAAATTCCTACGAACTTTTCAGCTCTCCTGCTATATGTTTATTGTTATATTTAGTCATATAATTCTTTGGGGTAAATTAACACCTCGTGTGCGTGTTAAATGATTATTTCTTTTTAATTGGGCATGTATGGAATAAGTGACAATACAAACAATACAATCAAATTATAAAAAAAGGGTTTTTTCAATGCTCCAGAGTAGGGGACAATCTGGCTTGATTTACAATAGATTTTTTGGATAATCGGGTTGTTGTGTACGAGAATGTCATTTACTTTGCTGTCAACATCCTCAGCTATCTTCTTGTACTCCTTCATACGCTTCGTGTGAATGTTCAGAATTTGGACTCTGCCATTCTCATTGGGCAGACCGATCTCCATCTGGACCTCGAGACGACCGGGACGGAGTAGGGCCTCGTCTATCATGTCCCTTCTGTTCGTCATACCGATCACCAGAATATTGTTCAACTGGTCCACACCTATATTTTAACAATAAAACCGGTGTAAGCCCTTGACTGAGATTTTGAACATATCCTACGTTGGTATATCGTTAAATCTAGATTGGTTTTTTTTAATGTAATAGGAGGCAAACGGGCAGGAGGCTCACCGCACATTGCTAGAAGGCTCGCAAGTGCGTTGCCGGCCTTTAATGTCTGCCCAATGCTTAGAGGCGATGTGAACTTGGAGAAACAGATCGTGGTTGGTAACACAGAAGGCAAAAGATCACGTGACCAATCAGATGGACCGATCAAGTGAACGATCCTCCTCAAAACACTGTTATAAGAGATGCGGGATAGAAACCGGCGGAAACTATCCGCTCCAGATGTTTGCTTGCTAACTACGACGCACAGACATGAGCTACCGACTGAAGAGAGACAGAGAGAGAGTATGGCAGATATTGCTGTCTGTTTGGTGTTTTTTTTAAGGCAAACGCCAAACTAAGAACATTGATTCTCCGGAAAATATGAAATAGGAAATTTAATCAAATTAGCAAGTACAATTTATTATAAGTTGTTTTTGATTTATTACTAAATAAACATTACAAAACACCCTTCAAACCCATCATTTGATAAATAATATTTTTGAATTCTCTGTTTTTATTAGCTTCACCTGTTTGGGTCAAATCCAGTAATTGAAGTGAAGGGTTGATTTAAAAAAGATCTCATTCACAAATCGTTGGACCTATGAAATTTCTGTCAACCGCTATATCAAAATTAAATCTTACCATCGATCTTAGAGAGCAGTTGGTTAACAACTGTGTCGTGTACTCCTGTGTTTCCTCCCGTGGAGCCTCTTGCTTTGCAAATGGCGTCGATTTCGTCGAATATTATGATGTGTAAGCCACTGTTTGGACCGCACTAAAATAATATAATATTATTGAGAAAAGATGTGGCACTACAACCCAGTTTTAGCCTGACTGTTCCTGTTAAATGGTAATTTGTTTTATCTAATAGGCAAGTAGGTGATCAGCCTTCTGTGCCTGACACACGCCGTCAACGTTCAAAGTGTGTTTCCCAACCTTTTATGAGCCAGGCCTTTTTTTTTTTAAATTCTTAAACTAAACTTACCTCTTCTTACTTCTAAAGCCCCTACCATTTTTAAAATTAACAAATTGAATTGTTGACACTTAAATGATTTGAATTTTTAGGTTTTTGAAAGAAATTACGAGAAAATTGTTAATTTTCAAAACATATATAGTCAGGTGGGGTAAATGCATGAACGGGGCAAATGTAATACCATAACTTTAACTGTTTACACACAAAATAAACTAGTTCTGGCATCTCTGATACACGTAAAGTACTTCTTGCACTACACTCTGACAACTTATTGAATCTGATGGATTGACAGATTTTCACCAATCTCGTTGCAATAAAAACAAAAGTATATTTCAATATGCGTATTTTATTGCTATTACCCCAGATTAGTAACTATCTACACTATTAGAATTTTAACATATTTTTTACATTTACCCCTTTACACCGGGAAAATTCAATAGAGAGTTAATCTGTAACCATCCATAATTAAACATAAGTAATTACATCAAACAAAAGTCTAAAACATGTTTAATATTCACAGTAAAAATTATTTGTAAATTGTAAAAGACCACAAAATAACAAGTCAATCTAGTTATGGTACTCGCATTTACCCCACCTGACCCTAATGAAAAACTGAAATTTTAATTCCTCATAATTTTATTAAATTTTCAAATAGCCTCCCTTAACAATCAAATTGCACTCACGTGGGGCGTGGGGAGTGGGAACCACGTTGGGAAACACTGGTCTATGGGATTATATTCCTCACGATGTTTTCATCGTACGTGTAAGTATTAAAAAGACAGAAAAGTCCATTGGTTTACAGCCGGGGTAAGAACCTACGACCTCAGGGATGAGAGTCGCACGCTGAAACTATTAGCCCAACACTGCTCTATATTATTAAAAACCTTGCAATATATAATAAAATATTAATTTTTTAGTGCGGTGCCGGCCTTAATTCCTGATATCGTCAATGTATATTTGGGAAGGAACTGACTTCTTCTATTGTCATATTCGTAAATATAACTACGAATTATGACGTTATCTAAAGAAAAATCCCGAATCGTAATAATTATAGAATATATATATATATTTTCATTGTATATTTGTGACATAGTATGTGTGCATGTGTGTGTTAAAATCATAGTTACCCTCTTCTCCTCCTCCTCAGCATCGGCAAACAACCGGCGAATGTTCGCCTCACTTTCGCCCACGTATTTGTCCAATATTTGCGGACCGTTGACGATCTTAGGCTCGCGCGCGTTCAACATTTTTCCGATTTGGCGAGCCATCAAAGTCTTACCGGTACCGGGAGGACCGTATAGAAGGATACCCTTCACGTGTTTGCATCCTAATAATCATAAAAATATAATAAATTCCCGTCAACCTTCAAACTCCATCATCAGGTCAGCGATAACCAGTATATCGTTCCTAATGTTCCAAACAGGTCTTCATAAACTGCGGTTGAAACACCTCAGCGTCCTCACAAAAACCCATAATGATTGATCCAGTCATTTAGAAACAATCGAAAGATACACCTTGTTGTAGACCAGTGAAATATCGGCAGTAATGCGTTTGGACCATGACCGATTATCATGTTCAAATAAACTTTATACAAAGCTTTTAATTTAATAACTAGTTAAACAAGAGATTCCGATGACCCAGGAACCGTACATTTTGGTCCTTCGAGCCGAAAACTTATACATAGATCATGTGGGGTGTGGTCAAGTTTAAGCTATCATCCTAAGACGTTTGACGAGTCCATTATAAATTATAATGCTTACATAACAAAGTTATATTTTAAAACACTGAATTCGATATAAAGTAATACTTCCTTACCCAACTGCTCGACGACTTCTGGTGGGAAGACTCGGGAAGCGAAGGCTCGCCGAAAGATAGCGTTGAACTCATTATCCAAACCACCAATTCCCATCTTTCCGAAATCCCAATCAGGATTTATGATAGACTGTCGAGGTTGTTTGCTATAAAATATCAAATTATTTACATTACATTAAAAAAACAAAAAAAAAACATTAAATTATAATTAAACATTATGTAATGAGGGTATTCAAATTGAACTCACTCATAAAAACTAAGACAAATAATATAGGTAAACAAATACCTACAATTTAATTTTTTTACATTAATTTAATTATGACACCTATATTAGGATTGTATTTAATAAGATAATTCTTTTAGAGAAGCCTGTCTACTCCGGCATATTTCTGTGTCCTGAGAACATCAATACAAATAATGAAAATACATATATTATGAAAACAAAGGTATTCCGTTAACTGTTATACATATATTCATTTAAGTTATTGAGTTAAGTTGAAAATTTTGAGTTTATTTATTGTTTGCAACATTTTAATTAACAGTAGACCAAGAGAAACTAAAAAAAATATCAAGAATGCTTGAGGCTGTTCAAAATCAATTATTGAATTTCTTACCCCTTAGCCTTGCCAACGAGATTAAGTGAAGAGTTCTCAGCCTTGTCAAACTGAATGCAGGCATCGGGAAGTAATCTACCCATCTTTACTCTTCGAGGGACTGCGTTAGCTCCTTGAGCTAATGCCTGTACATCCACGGCTAAAATAATACCACGAATTATATTCTCTAAAAATAGTTGTGATATCTGTTAGAGATTATTTTACTACTCAAATCAGTTTAAAAAGGAATGTAGTATATATGTTTTTTTTAATATAAGTAACATATCAAAATCAAGGGCAGTAGAGTTAGCTAACATATAATAGTGTTTCTATATAATAACAATAAGAAGATATTGATTTAAATACATAATATTATGAACATAAAATAGGTACTATTAACTGCTCTTAGTCCATTATATTTTGCAATGATACCTTACTCTACATGATATGAAATAAATTTGTTCAATGAAAAAATAAACACAAACATGTCATGGCAAAATAGGAGCATGCATTTACATTATAGGTAGAATAGAGAACAAAATACCCATTTTTTTTGATACAATTATCTGTCCCATGACCCACTACAGCCATCTCTTAAACCAACTGTATAAAAAGATCTTCCAAAAAAACTTTTCAAGACAAACATTTTACCTTCTAAATTCTTTACAATCAAGGAGAGTACTTTTTTTTCTTGGAAGGAAAAGGCCAATTGCTGACCAACTGTGAAAACCTGATTGGAAAACTGTATTAAGAAGTCACGTGCCATCTGTTCTGAATCGTAAGGCTCCATTGATGTTCTAAAAATACAGAATTAATTTCATTTTATTAACTAGGTATATAGCATCTGATGTATATTGCAAAAGGACAGGAAAATTATAACATAGTTATTTCTGTTTGAGTAGTTTTCTTTCTCTTCTATCTCTTTCTCTTTCAGGCGCTAAAGAAATATACATTCAAAGTATTTACATTTAACATCTCTAAAGGACTATATTCATACCTCAATAATTACGATTTAAGAGCATAATTAATAACAATATTTTATAAAATTGGGATGTCAGGAGTTCCATAAAAAAATAGGTGCAATATGGTGTAGAAAATCTTACGTCTTCTTAAGCATGAAATCAGCTTCCAAGGTGACACTGCAGAGGCACTCAGCACTTTGAGGCTTGAAGACACTGACATCAATAGGCTACAAATAGATTTACAATTCAAATAAAATGAAAGATAACATTCAAAATCTTACACACAAAAGATAATTGGGTAGTCGGCGTGATGGTCAGTTTAAAAATGATTACATAATGTAACTTGATTTTTTATACCTGTCCAATAGATAATGTTGCCCATTTTCTCTGTGGAGCAGAAAATCCTACAGTCCCCCTATCAACTCCACTGTAAAATCTGATACTGAAGACAAAGTGCTGGGATGGGCCTGTTGATACTTCAATATGCCTGTAGAAATGTTTATTATTTATAAAAAAAAACTAGATTTAGAGTAAAAAAATATAGGGAATAAGTGAAAATCTTTGAAATGTTACTTAATTTTTATGAATACAAGATTTGCTATAACTTACTTGACATCGCTAGGAAAGTCGTCTGGGTTTATGAGAGCACAGTTAGTGATCGCCAACTCATCTGATGGGCATTTGGCTGCCTTCATTCGCTGTGAAATAAAAGTGTTTATATATTTGATGTAGAAGGAATACACGTAACATTGCGTAAACTTCTTAAATTAAAAAATAATAAAACAATCAGGCAAGAATTGATTTTTAATACTCTTTATTGTGTCTGTATTTTAAATAAAAAAAAACATTGTACATAATATACATATAAACATACTTATAAAAGTAATATAAACATTAAATAGCGAATGTACTGTTTATACAATTACCAAGCTAATTATTAAGGCCATATGTAGCTAATTAAATTAGAATTACTTTTTTACTTACCATTGAAGGCATTTTTGATGTTATATTTTTATTATTCTAAATTATGATTTAATTAAATGACAGTAATGATTCACGTTGACTGCAATGACATCAACCCTAAAATTACCACTTATTACCACTTCAGTGGTTAGTGGTCTAGTGATGCCTATTGGAAGGAAAAGACTGCAGTAAAATATTTTGGGTTGACTCTTTTGCGTTTTATTACAAACTGGATCAATAAAAGCGGCTAGTGTTGCTATTGATTCAATTGTTTTTTACTATATCTTTTAGTCTTTCCTTTCACACATATGAGATGTAACAAAAACTATAATATTGAAGAAAGTAATATACATAATTATTATTTTGCGTTTATTAATGTAATATTAAAAAATATTTAAAATGTGTCTGAAATAAGTAAGATGTCGATCGATTTTCATAATTAAATGTCTTAGCTAGTTTAATAATAGCAGTTTATAAAAGCATATAAGTATTTCCATAAATTATTAATAAGTATAAAATAATATTTTACTTTTATCATGTTTATCTCCTAAAAAATAATTATGTACCGGTTTTTACCCGCATGTTAAGGTATCGAGTATTCGTGTAATCGAATAGAACTCGAACTATCTGAGTCTGTGGATTGTAGTCTGTGACTATCCAACATTAACAAGGAAAATAATTGAAAAGGGTGGTGGCACTTGCTTGTCGTTATTTTAATTTATTTCTAAAGTTATAAATGTAAATAACCTCAGAGTTGTTTATAAAAATGAAGCTAGAACTATTTATATTACTATTTACTATATTATATAGGAGTAAGTATTAAACTGCTTATTTAACTCCTACTTGACTTTAGTCTATTGTGACTAAATACTAACAAACACCTCATTTTTTTCAGTTGAGCTGGTGTCGGCAGAGTGTAATATACCAATAGTTTTGAGAAACTCATGGTTTTCTTTTGAAAATGGTCAACAAACAACGACTGATATCAATGCTTACGAAATGACTGGCAGGTATACAATTTAAGTCGCTTAATTATGAAAAGTCATACCAAAACTTTAAGAAATTATAACGTATCAATTACTATGAGTAGAAGGTTTCTTATAATAAGTAGAAAATTTCTGGCTGGTTACATTTTTATATCAGTGTAAAATCTACAAACACCTTGAAACTTTTCAAATTGAGCTAAAACTCTAATGAATGATCTCCAACTCCAAATGATACTATTGTTTTTTCTTTACAGGGGTTTATGTGTGAATATAAAAGCTGAGTCTCAGTCAAACTATACTATGGTATTTAAATATACAAAGTGCTACTATTGTGTAAAGCTTGTTGTTCGTACTGTAAATGTTCTGGAGAAGATTGAAAGTCCCTGTGTAGATTTAGAACCTCATGAAGAACCAACTGTGGAGCGTGTTTGCAAAAATCTTAATCCTGACCAGTATTTCATAACCTTGTTTGCTGAAAATTTTGTTCCTGTAAGTATGATACTTGTGTTATGTGTTTGTTTAGTTAAATTATAATATCTGGTTTTAATTGCATTTTCAAAAAAGTTAGTATAAATGCAATACACTATAGTCTTTAAAGTTAAATAGATCAAGAACAATTATTAAATGTATATATTTTAGAAGACAATAAGTACAACAGATGAAGCCAGAATAATTATAGTAATGACTAGCTGCTTATTTTGAAAATGCCTAGGCAATCATACATTTATAGATTTACAGTTACAGGTTGTGCAGGTTTATTTATGAATAGAACATGTTTAAATTGTGTGCCATTATATTTTATTGTCTAATTTATCTATTCACAGATTCTAAAGATTAAATTATTTTTCATCTCTTTCAATTTCAGGTTAATTGTCGATCTTCTTTAGAGGGAGTGTGGCAGTTTACATATCAAAACCGATTTAGATTCACAGGTGAATGTAGCCACCCGGAAGCACAGATAAAGTCTTGCCAGACAGCTGGAACACAGTTCTTGATAACAAATCAAAAGTTTAATATCACCTATAGAAAGTGCCCTGGAATGTCAGGCACATTTGAAGGAGTTGTTGAATACAGTTGTTTAGGTAAGCATATTTTTTACTATTGACAATGACAGTCTCATTGGTATAGTGGTTGCCATGTTCAAATAGAATTATGAGGACTCGGATTTCAAGCTCAGGTGAGGCCAAAATTAGAATTTTAATACAAATATGAATCAATAGTTTTATGTCTTTTCTGTACCTCATTGTAGAAGTAATGGTTCTTACATTTGCATGGTTTAATAATTTTAGGGCATTGGTTTGTTAATAAGAATCAGTTCTTTGCTGTTGCCAACACTAAGGAGTCACGTAAAGATGAGAGATACCGCTGCTTCTTGAGAAACAGAGATGATGATTTGTTTATTGGAGCATCGATTACACCCGAATGTAGCAGTTTGAAAACAGTGGAAAAATCTCCTGAAAGATACAAGATTACACCTGTTAAGGTAATCATTTATAATATTTTTGTTTAAATAACATGAGTAACTAGTAGTAACATTTTCCTTTAAGGAACCTCTTGAATATCCAAAATTGTACATATAATGTGAACAAAAATACAAATAATAATAGTCAGTGTCGCCTATGTCACTCAGAAGTTATAATAACTGCTGCCAAAAAATACAAAAAGCTTAAAATTATCTAGAAATTAATTAGACATATTAAAATATATTTAAAAAAATATTGGTTTACCTATAGGCTGAAGTAGTAGAACCTGGGTGTCGATTGCCACAAAACTTCTCAGGCGATTGGATAAATACGGCAAACATTGACGCTGATGTATTTATAAACGAAACCCACATTATTGAAACGTATTATCCCGATGAAGGACGGTACAGACGAACTATTTATGTTTGCAGGTGAGTTTTTATTTAAAAATTAACAGGCTTCTTCAATCCTTGCTGCCTCCATTCAACATAAAACCAGCCGTATCAATGCAAAATTTTATCAACATCACCTTGATGGCTGGAAGTCTTCCACAGTCTGTTTCACAAGGCACTTTCTTTTGTGAAGTAGCGAACTGTGGAATCAACTCCAAGTGGGGGCCTTACCTGACCACCACCTATTCAAAGTTAGAGTGTCAAATGCCGGCAATGCACCCACTAAAGGTTGGGTTTTGACTAGTTTGCATTCATTATATAAGTGTTTTAAATCTTTCCATGTTTAGATATGTGTATTTAAAAAAATACTGATATTGTGTTAGATTAGCAAATGTTTAATGTGTAAGAATGGTTTTTAAGATATAAATATTTGGTTTATCGATACTTACAGCCATCGATAAACCATAGGACCTTATCCAATGCTATGTTGAGTCCGTATTTTATAATCCAGCTGGTTAGAACTTACTTCGGTTGATAGATGTTAAAAAGATGAATTGTATTAAATGTCAACAAAATATACTACTTTAATTGATGTACACTGTAAACTCCATGTTTATTCTCATCGATTTTACGACAAACCCCCTAAAGCATCCATACCATACAATGATACACTTTACATAGCCTTACACCCTCAATAACGACAATAATTAAATACTAAAAAGTACTTTTTAAGTTGTTGAAATTAGTTAAAACTGTATACGTTGTTTTGTCGCTTTATTGTCCTAGCGAGGAATAAATAAGTTTGGTACTCGACATACGTACCGAACTTTCCAAGAAATCCGTTCCTTTTTTTACAAATTGCGCATGCTCGCATGTGCTTTGTCACAAAAATTTATCCATATCGCAAGATATGAATTAAATAAGTAAAAAAATAATATAATATAATTTCTAAGACTTTTTTTTCTAAACCAATTTTTTTCCATTTAACGGCTCTTTTAACGTCAAAATAGTCCCTTGAGTGTCGTTATATAGAGTTTATACTGTATTTAAAATAATTATTTGATGAAAAATTTATTTTCAGGGAACAACGTGACAGTAGAGTGATGATGGCCCGTTTGACAGTTGACGGTTGTCAAAAGGATTATGTATGCTTTGACTTTGTCCCGCAACATCACAACGTTATAAGGTAAATTGTTTTATTTTTATAGAACAGGAGGCTCACCTGATGTTAAGAGATACCGGCCATGGACACTCTCAATGCCAGAGGGCTCGCGAGTGCGTTGCCGGCCTTTAAAGAATTGGTACGCTTTTTTCTTAAAAGACCCTAAGTCGAATTGGGTCAGAAATACTTCAAGAATTGTTTCAACTATACATTTTTTTTCCACAGATATCGTAAAGGATTAGCCATGACACAGAACAACTTCCACACCGTATGCTCCTGGGTACAATTCCAGAACAAACGAAATTGGCGTTATGATATCTTCCTGAAGAAAGACCCAACACCGATAAGATGTCCTGTTGCAGGGAAATTTAATTTTACCCAAAAAGGAGATGTAAAGTTTGAAACTAGGATACTCGGTGGTGTTACATTAAGTCCCCGACCTAATTTGTACTGTAAAATCAATATAAGCGATTTCTCTGTGTGCGATGTTGATCAGAAAACTGTACAAATAAAGGAAAATTATTGCCTTTCGGTGGATCATTTGGGTAGACCGGTGGATATATACAGTGATCCCGATTATAAGATGAAGTGTATTGGCTATTGGAAGGAGAATTTGAAGTCATACCTGATAACATATGATGAACTTGATCCGTTTTCAAAGTATAGATGCTGGGTGTACCAAAGAGCTGATCTTAACAGGTATTTTTTCTGACTTTTTGGTGAATTAATAAATTTGAGGTTGATCAAAAACTCTGACGATTTGACTCTTAACAGTCTATTCTAAGTTTATTGTATATTTAATAATAATAATAATTTATTGATCACAGATATGTGCAAATTTGTCTTACATAATTTAACAACATTACATTATCAGTCATATCATCATAGTCAATTCTTATATTATTAATCACTACATCATCACATTATTAAAATTATATTATCACATTGTCAAATTAATATTAATTGAAGGGTTTCACTCAATTAATAATTATGTAATAGATTAATTAATTTTTTTTTCCAAAAGAAGTAGATTTTGCCATACAATAGATTTTTTTCCTTCTGATGATTAATTTTTGGCATAACCAATTTCTCTCCATGTCTACTTTGGCATTTGTCCATACCCATTTACTTAAAAATATTTAAGCTTTAATGAACAAATAGTTTCTTTAAAGTCTGGTGTACATATTGACTGTATGCAGTATTGGCATAAATAATTTTTTGTCTTTTAAATTAATCTTGGTTATGAATACTCAAAGTTAAGAAAAGTTTTATTAAATTATACCATATTCATAAATTAATCTTAAATCTAGTTAAAACAATGTAATTATTACCTACAGAAACCCGTACCCGTTTTAAAAAGATGTCGTCCTAATAATTTAATAAATCAATTTCTTACGTATATTCATTTTGCAGAGTACTTATGTCTCAAGCACTCGGAGCTTACTGTGATTTGAAACAGGATGTGACGTCATGGAACTATACAGAGGGCGCTGCAGTAGCCGTTGAAATGGAGGAATATGAAAGAGAGAGGGATCAGTGCCCGATGCATTTTGATGATGGAAGCGATCCTTGGTCGACGAAAGAGAGTTTTATTAAAATATTCTCTTTCTCATATTCATTTTGGAGAAGAAATGCAGCTGCAACATTACTTGCAGCTAATGTAATTTTCATTTTAAGTTTAAGTACAATACTCAAGTGCCTTACCTAAAGTTAAGCGTAAGTCACAAATTTGTATTACACTGCTTAGTAGTTGATTTAAGTATAAGTTAGAAATGTCTTAGTGGTGAAATATGTGTATATTAAGTGTCAATTACTATAGTTTGCAAAGATTTGTGTAATTTTAATATGAATCTCATTCCTTCAGTGCCTTACATTATGTTAAAACTAGGTAATAATTTAGATTAATTCTATCTTATTGCATTCTTAATTCTGTTATGATATGCTGACTGGTTTTAAGAAAGGCAAAGAAAAATATTGTACGATTGTGTTTTTAGTATATATTAGTACCTCTTTGTAACGTAATCCGTCCAGTTACTTTTGTACCATTTTTATACAATAAAGTTATTATTTTAGTATTAACACATGACTTTTATGATTCTTACTTTATGCATTAATACATACTATGAAAATATTGGATAACAATAAATCTAGCATTTAGTATGAAAACGTGTTTGTTTTGAATTTCAATAAAACTTTTTTTATGAAATCAACAAAAATAATATATTTAGACAATGCACTTCACACTGCGACATTATATATATATATATAATGGAGACTTAGAAACTATAGCTGATTATTATCTGTACGGCTTTCGCCGTGGTTGCTCAACGGGTGGTCTTTAAGCTTTTTTTTTACGTAACAAAAGGCAAACAAGCAGGAGACTCGCCTGAGGTTAAGTGATACCGCCGCCCATGGACACTCAATCCCAGAGGGCTCGTGAGTGCCTAGTGGAACCAGCTGCCCACTGAAGTATATATTTCTGAACCAATTCGACTTAGGTTCCTTCAAGAAAAGAGCGTACCAATTTTTAAAAGGTGACAACACACCCGCTAGCCCTCGGCGTTGCAGTTGTTTAGTGGCGGCTCGTTAGTCTTCTGTACCATAAACACATATACTATTACATATTCCTTTCTACTTTATCTAAACGTAATTCTTTACAAATCTAGCAAAGCAATTTGGTTATTTTTGAGGGATAGAATACGATACCTTTTATGTATGTTCATGGTTGTTTTATTTTGCTCTTTTGTAAGTTATTGCCAACATATTAAAAAGTTCACAAAAATATTTAGTAAAATATGACATTATATTTATTTATTATTCAAATATATACATATAAACATGTTTTTCTTAAGTGCATAAAGTCCATGCATTTTCAATATTCTACACCATACAGGCAGAAATTAAACTTATGTAGTTAATTATACTTATATTATATACTTATAATACTTAAATTATTTAATGTAATCTTCTATAGGCCTTCCTAGTACATTTATGCAACAGTTTAAAAGAGGATTTAATAGAAACAAAATGTTCCTTATAACTATTATTTTAATGTTAAAGTAATTACAGTAAATCTTAATTAATCAAAACCATAATAGTACAATCTGTATAGTTTTATTTTGTCCAAGATACTTTAGGTATATCAAAGTGCTCTGTGAGGCTGTCCAAGTGCTGATTGAATCTCTCCACACGCTGCTTGTGTGTCATCTCTGCTTTTTGTTGAATCCTCTGTTTTTGCTAAAACAAATAATTTAAATTTAAATACATTTTGGTAACACTGGTGATTTTGTATATATGTTAACCAGTTTCTTTAATGATTTAGCCATTTTAATTTATAAGCTAGTCAAGTATTATTCTAGAAATTTGAAACAACTGCATTAAACTCGATGCAGTAGTTTTTTTAGTTTTTCCCAAACAGAGAGATAGATACGGCGGAGGACTTGTTTTTATATAATATAAAAGTTAGACATTTGCTGTCACTGATTTTATAGGCATTATCAATTTCTAAAACTTTTCCCTAGAACTCATGTATCTTTCAAAAGAAATGTTTTATTGGACAATTCTTTCTCTGACTCACTTTGCAAATCCATCTTTGCCGAAAGTCTTTTTTCGCATTAATACATAGGCTATGACACATACAAACAACATGGTATAAAAGTGTTGAAAAACCTTTTAAAACTGATTCAGTAGATGCAGAGATCAATATCTATAACCGCACAAACTCTCATATTATAATGAGGTTTATAATATGAGTACTGAAGTATGGATTTTATTTCAGACTCATGTAACAAACTTTTAAAACTTATTGCAATATACTACTGTTAAAAATGAAGCATTATAGAAAATGTATGTATTCTTTTAAATAGTGTTCTCTGTCTTTTTTGACTCTGATGCTATATTACTTTATAGGAAGCAAACATACCATTTTTTCCTGCATTTTCTGAAAAGCTAGTTCTGCTTTAGTTCTTTTCTGTTCTTCAGTTTGTATTACTTGTTGTTGTTGTTGTTGTTTGACCTCGTGTTCAATAGCTTTTTCTATATCCTTGTTAGCTTTCTTCTTCTTCTTCTTTTTCTTAATTCCCGAATTATCTTTGATTTTAAGCTGAGCTTTATTTACACAGGCGTATTCATCCTCCTCATCCATTTTAACGTTTTATTAAATTGTGAGATATTAGCAAAAAATATAGTTCTTATTTCACAATTTTCACTATGATATGAAAAATTAAAATATTATGTTATTTATGTTTACAAAATACTTAATAAAGTAACATGAGAGATATACGTCACTTCACTTCACTTCACTTCACTTCGTATACGTCTATGACGGATCATTAATGACAATCGACATCATGTATACAACAACAATATAAGACAGTGACAGCTAGCTTTCGACTGATATAATTTTAATTCTGTTTACGAAAGGTTTAAAAAAGAACGGTTTTTAAAAAGAACGCCAAAACATCAACTTGATAAAATGTCGGGCTGAGTCGTTTGTACATTGAATTAGAATTATGCAAAAAATTTCTATCCCATGGTATTTTTAAGTGATAAGACAAGGAAGTATGTTCTACAGTCTCTAGCATGACCGGAAGGCGAATAATTAAATACATATTGATAATATATACATAAAATGCGGGTTGTGTCGCTTGTCTATTAGATACATACAAACGGTATTTACTGCCTCCTATCCTCCTATATTATCTTTTTTCAACAACAAGAAAATTCTGTTGCCTCCGCAATTTCCCGGCCGTTACTGGCATAGAGTTGCTCATCCATGGCTATGCATTTTACTAATCGTTTGTACTGTAATTATTGTCTCCCTTAATTGTGGAAAACAGAAATTGTTTTACAAGGTGATATTATAGTCTAAAGACAGACGAATTTTATAGTCAGCTTACACATTGGTCTGATGATGTTGTGAATAATTAAACTAGGTATGTTATTCACTAAGCAAAGCTTAATTTTATCCGTTTTAATGAGTAAAAAAGTATTCATACATACGATGTCTTGATACAATAAAATATCAGAAAATTATTAAAAGAAAAAGGCATATAATTTTTTAAGTGTAACTTCTTTAGGCGCATGAGGGTAAATTTTTTACGAATGAAACGCAATAATAATAATATTAGCGTCACGAAGATGTGCAGCGTTTTTGTCGAAGAAAAGGCAGTGAGTGATTGAGACGGATTGAGAGAGTGAGAAAGGGCGAACGTAGCAATATACGAAATTCTATTTTTAAAATTAATATTTCGTAAAGAGAATTTATGAAATATTAGGATTTTATATTTATATATTAATTTTAAATTTTAATTCTTCATTTGAGATTTCAATAAATTCTAAAATATATTATATACTGGACATGATCATCTATTGGGGCTTTTACCTTAGTAATAATTGATTTGTCTGACTGAAGTGTGACTCACGACCAGAAAATATTAACCTCAAGTGTAGTGATGTTGGTCCATCTATTACAAAGCGTGAAATCTACTATGCCATAACAAAAGCAAAAACTCGGAAAGCTGTCGGAGCTGATAATATACCAACAGAGATTATAAAGGAAATTGAGGAATGTAACTTAGATTATATCACAACCCTTTTTAATGGTATATACGACTCAGGAACCATTGCTTCTGACTGGCTTAAGTCAACATTTATCACTATTCCGAAAACAAAGAATCCCAAAAAATGCAACGACTATCGGACTATCTCACTTATGAGCCATGTTTTGAAACTCTTTCTGAAAGTGATACATAATAGGATATACTCTAAATGTGAATCAACACTATCCTGCACCCAATTTGGCTTTCGAAGCGGTTTAGGGACGAGAGACTCTCTTTGGCTATCAAGTGTTGATACAGAGATGCTTGGACATGAATAGGGATCTTTTCGTCTGTTTTGTCGATTATGAGAAAGCTTTTGATAATGTACGACATGGTAAAATGATGGAAATACTCCAGAGAATTGGCTTAGATTATAAAGATTGATGTTTCATTAAAAACCTATACTGGAAGCAAAGTGCTAATATAAGGGTAAACAGCAAACATTCTTCATATATCGAGATTCAGAGAGGTGTGCGTCAGGGTTGCATTTTATCACCTTTGCTATTTAACTTGTATGCCGATGCAATATTTTCAGAAGCCCTAGATAATTGTCAACATGGCATAGCAATTAATGGCAAACTGCTGAATAACTTGAGATACGCTGATGACACGATCTTAATCGCAGAGAGCCTCGATGGTCTACAGAATTTAGTCAATTCAGTTGCTGCCGTGAGTTCTGAATTTGGTATTAGCATCAATGCGAAAAAGTCAAAAGTTGTCATATAGACAATAAGCCGAACAGCGGAGCTTTTCACGCAACATATATACCTCAACAATCAGACCTTGGAACGTGTCTCGAAAATACGATATCTAGGCACAGTGATTGATGAAAAGGGTGACCATAGCATCGAAATCCGCTGCAGAATTGAACAAGCTCGGAACGAATTTTCAAAACTAAAAAAAGTACTTTGTGACAAGCGCCTAAATTTACAGCTTAGAACTCGCATTGCGCGATGTTACGTCTTCTCTGTGCTGCTCTACGGCGTAGAATCTTGGACGCTGACAGAGACTATGTCCAAAAAACTGGAAGCGTTTGAGATGTGGGTTTATCGACGTATGCTTAAAATATCTTGGACAGACCGCATACGAAATACAACCGTGCTGGACAGAATGCAGAAGAACAAAGAAGTGCTTATGACGGTTAAGAAAAGGAAACTTGAGTATTTCGGACACGTTTTACGCAACTCCAAAAAATATGAGCTCAAATACAAGGCAAAGTGGCAGGTAGAAGGAGACCTGGCCGCAGACGCACGTCCTGGTTGAAAAACTTGAGACAATGGTTTGGTCAAAGCACCAAGTAATTGTTTAGAAGCGCGGCATCCAAAAAAATAGCCATGATGATCGCCAACCTTCGCAAGGAGATGGCACTATAAGAAGAAGAATAATTAATTTACAAAGAAGTTTCACTTCTGACATGTGTACTTTGTACGCACGACTGTTTTTTTCAGGCGTTTGAATTCATCGCCATTCGTCTTTTTTAAAGTAAGGCAATTTTAAACGCCTGGTTTCTTTTGATGCGCATTAGTACGTTATGTTACGTATATACAACTTATATCTCTTTGATAATGATGCACGTCGTCGTTAAAATGTAACCAGAAAGATATTTGATCGTTGTTGCCTATGGTTTGAGAAGTTTGATTGTTCACAACAAATATCATAAATATATGATTGTTTTGAACAAAAGATCGAGAATGAATGGCATTTCTTGGCGTTATCGGGCAAGCGCACGCGCTCCGCCCGCCGCTGACGCGTTCGTAGCCGAGATTAGTTGATTTGCCGCCACGTGGCGCCACGTGCGCACTGACTACCCGCCAAATAAGATTAACGGATTTGCACACTACAGATTGCACACGAATACACAGGAAGTGTAAAGTGAAACGGTAATGAGATCGTTTGATGGAATTAATGAAATTAACAGTTACAATTTTGAGTCTATGACCGGCTAGGGTTTTTAAAAACAAATTGTAAAGTAAAATTTCAAATCTGTGATATCATCTCAACAGACTGTAATTTTTTTTAATTGTTTAACAAAATAAAGTTTAAAAATTATAGTGACCGAATTTAGAGTTAATTCATACATTACACTATTTTAGAAGGAATAAGTTGCAATTATAATTAATATAAGCTATCTGTGCATCAATGAACTTAATTCTTTCCGTACCTAAAGATAAAAAAACGGTATGACGGCATGTCAAGCCAGAATGCTCATCTATCACATAAGAAACCGTAAAAACAGAAATATGAGATCAAGACAATGTTGTGGCACTGTTTTTTTTATGACAGAATGATGAACCTTTGTTTGTTTCAGTTTTTATTTAATACATATTTTTCTACTTCCTGAGGTTTTAGTAACAGTAAAAGATAAAGGGATGGTTTTTATTGTATTGTTATTGTATAGATATACAATCTTAATCACAGCTGTGTCAAAAGATAAAGGTTGGAGGTCGTAATAGTATGATTTTGACGCGTGTCGCATTTTCTGATAAGACGCACCCTCGCTGCATTTATGGCCAATTTATACAATAACGTATAAATATTCAATACATTTTATACTACCTTTTTCTAACATGAATGATTTTAAAACCTGAATTAATATAGTTTACGATCTTGCAATGGTAGTAACTAGTAACCCTCGGCGACAAGTCAACAGATAGATTTTTTCGACTCGTTTTTTTTTTTATAGAACAGGGGGCAAACGGGCAGGAGGCTCACCTGATGTTAAGTGATACCGCCGCCCATAGACACTCTCAATGCCAGAGGTCTCGCGAGTGCGTAGCCGGCCTTTCAAGAATTGGTACGCTCTTTTCTTGAAGGACCCTAAGTCGAATTGGTTCGGAAATACTTCAGTGGGCAGCTGGTTCCACAAAGTGGTGGTGCGCGGCAAAAACTGCCTTGAAAAACGCTCAGTTGTGGAACGGCGGACGTCGAGGTGATACGGGTGGAATTTCGTACTCTGCCTCGATGTCCGATGACGAAACTCAGCTGCAGGTATTAATCCGAACAACTCCTCTGAACACTCTACATGGTAAATGCGGTAGAAGATGCAGAGTGACCCCACATCTCTACGCAACGCCAAAGGATCAAGCCGCTCGGGGAGGGATTGGTCGTCGACGATTCGAACCGCTCTGCGTTGAATACGGTCAAGTGGAAGGAGCTGGTACTGGGAGCCCCCCAGAGGTGAGAGCAGTACTCCATGTGGGGCCGAATTTGCGCTTTATATAGTTGCATGCGGTGGCCCGGAGTGAAGTACCGTCTCGCCTTGCTGAGCACACCAAGCTTTTTGGAGGCTAATTTAGCCTTTCCCTCCAAGTGACCGCGAAACTGAACGTCGTTCGATATGTCAACGCCAAGTATTCCAAAGCTGGCTGTGGCTTTAAGAAGAGTGTTTTCGAAAAGAGGAGAGGAGTCCTCAATTTATCGTATAACAGTACAAAATCTTACCAGGAACCAAATACTTGACTTACCTATACAAAAGAGACAAGCTTTCTTACTAAGGTAAAACTCGAGAATTGTCTTCAAAGAGGTCCCGATGGGACAGACACAT